GTTAATTTTACAAAAATTTTACAAATACTTTTTAAAAAAGTGAGCTTCGTTTTCATTTTTACATTTTTCAGAATTTTGAATTTTTGAACTAGAGGAAAAATTTTCTATATTTGAAAAAATACAAAGAGGAGTTTTTAAGTATAAGATTTGAATGAAAATATGAAGTATTTTTGGAAAAAAATTGCAAGAGGATAAAAAGGGTTTCGGGACATTGAAATTTTAACTCTTAGTTTGAACCTATATTTGTAATTTTCAAATGGTAATTATCGTCGATTATATCGATAAATTCATAGTAATAAAATTTATATTAAAGCGTCGACTGAGCAATAGGAAGCAAAGTTTAGGAACCAGGACACTAGATATATATAAAACGAGAGATTGGGGTCGTTACTAAAATATACTCTAAGCAAATTCAGAGGCAATTTCAATATCTTCTTTTAAATAATTTTAATAATGCTCATTATTATATTTCCTGTTTTAATAATGCAGCAATAAAGTTGATTTTGCGATGAGTTTCCTTTTGCTGGGAAAGCAGTCGCGAGTACTCCTATTTCAATTCTAAATATAGTTCTCAGTATCAAGATGAATCAAGTTCCAAATGCCTAGACATGTTGATATAATATGTGCGAGCTTTTGAAAAAAAAAATAATACACTCGCTAAATATTCATATTCCGTTCCTTTTATACATGTCTTTAATTTACTCCATTTGATTTTAATCTATTCTCTACGAGTACTGTTCCCTTGAAAAATATAATTAGAGACAGAAAATTTATGCTGAAGGATAAAAGTATAAATTTCAAAAATGTTGAAACAAAAATTCAGATTAAAAAGTATTTTTGAAACAATAATAATAATTGTAATTTGCGAAAGTATTTAAAAAGTATAATTTTTGTTGTAAAGCAGCATAATGTGGCTGAGCATTGTATGCCGCATGATTCAATAACTTAAAACATTTTATACCTTAATATTGAGCATAATTGCAGCATAATTTGATAAATCGTGGTACAATTTTGTATTTATATATATTTTATTTATCAAAAATAGTCAATTCTAAAAAAATACTAAAAAAATGTTTACTAAAAAAAGTAAGCATCAGTAAAAAAAATTACAAGTAGCTTCTAAAAAACTTGAACCAGCAAAATTACTTTCATTAGGTACATTTTTGTAATATTTCAATGTCTTATCTGTACAATTAGGGATACTACAACAATAAGCTCAAAAAAGTTTCTAATTGTAAATTTATTTTTAAATTTAATAGGCTTCGCACTCATCTACTAAAACCTACTATTTACTACTTTTTTCGTTATGCTATTATTTGGGTACTTTTTTTAGATTTCAGTCACTAAAAGCTACTATTTCTAGTTTTTTTTAGAATTTACTTTAAATTCGTTAATACTACACGGAGAAAACTGGAGTATTCAACTAACTATCTGGAGGGACAAACAGACTATATTTGAGGTTAAGTTTTTCGTAACAATCTCGGAGGGATAAATAGACACTCCGATGATTAATTTGACTCACTCGGAAGGAAAAGTTAACTATTCAGAGAATCAGGCTTAACACTCAAAACCTAACCCTCTAAGTTTGACTATCCAGTTTTCTCAGTGTAGAAATCAAAAAACTTCTCAAAAATTATAGTCTCAAATTCTTTAAAACCATTCAATTATTTTCAAAAAATATTCGAAATTCAATTATTTCCAATATCTAGTATTTTTATAAAATTTCGCAAACGCATTCAATTATTTAAAACAAAAATTGATAAAAATCATCCAAAATTCAATTATTTTCATAAATAATAAAATTTTCTCAAAAATTAAATTAATTTAGAATAGAATTTTCAAAAGAATTTTGAAAAAATAAATTATTTAACAAAATTTTTATACAATTGTTCTTCAAAATAATTCAAATACTCTCACTAATAATAACAATTTTCATAGAAATTCAATTTTTTAACAAAATTTTCGATAAAATTCTAAACAAGAAGTCAATTAATTTCATAAATAATAAAATTCACCAAAGAATTTCAATTGTTTTTAATACTATTTTAAATTAATTAATCGAAAAATTCAATTATTTTCTCAAATAAAGTTTTCCATAAGTATTCAATTATTTAAAATAAAATTTTCATAATATTTATTACATTTCGGAAAAATTTATTATTTAAAGCAATGTTTATAAAATTCTTATGAAGAATTCAATTATTTTTAAAAATAACAAAATTTTTCTTAAATTCTATTTAAACATTTTAATAAAATTGTTTGCAGTAATTCAATTATTTTCATAAATAATAAAATTATTCTCAGGAATTCAATTATTTTTGAAAATTTTAATACAATTCTCCCCAGGAATTCAGTTATTTTTATAAAATTCTTTGAAACTATTCAATTATTTTCATAAATAATAAAATTCATCGCAGGATTTCAACTATTTTTAATCCAATTTTACAGGAATTTCTCAAAAAATGTAACTATTCTCAAAAATTTTAATTTAAATTTTTCGAAAAAATCAATTATTTAAAAAATGTTTTCTTTTTTTAAAAATTCTTTGGAAGAATTCAATTATTTGAAAAAATGTTTTCTTTTTTTGAAATTCTTTGGAAGATTTAAAAAAAATGTTTTTTTACAATTCTTTAAAAGAATTCAATTATTTACAAAAATATTAGAATTTTTCGCAAGAATTCAATTATTTTTAAATATTTTTTAATATAATTGTTCGAAAGAAATCAATTATTTTAAATACAATTTTAGTTTTTTCTTTGAAATAATTCAATTATTCTTTTAGAGTTTCAAATAAAATTCTTTCCACGAATTCAATTATTTACATAAATAATTCTACGAAAGAATTCAATTAATTATGTTGATGATTAAGAAAATTATTCCCCAAAATTCAATTATTTTTATGCATTTTAATAAAATTCTTTGCAAAATTTAATTGTTTTCTTAAACTACAATATACATCAAAAGAATTCAATTATTTTTAAATGTAATAAATTTCTTCTTGGAAATTCAATTATTTTAAAAAATTCTAATCAAATTTTTCGCAAGAATTCAATTATTTTCATAAATAATAAAATTCTTCTCAGAAATTCAATTATTTTTTGGAAATTTTAATAAAATTCTTTACAACTATTCAATTACTTTCATAAATAATAAAATTCATCGCAGGATTTCAATTATTTTTAATACGATTTTATAGAAATTACTCGAAAAATGTAAAAAAAAAATTAAAATTAAAAATTTAATTTCAATTCCTTGAAAAAATAAATTATTCAAGAAAAATTTTTTTTTAATTCTTTGGAAGAATTCAATTATTTACAAAAATATTTGAATTTTTCACAGAAATTCAATTATTTACATAAATAATTATTCTTCGAAAGAATTCAATTATTAAAGATAAATAACAAAATTATTCCCGAAAATTCAATTATTTTGATTTTTGAGGCATTTTAATAAAATTCTTTGCAAAATTAAATTATTTTCATAAATAACAATATTCATCAGAAAAATTCAATTATTTTTAAGTTATTTTTAAAGATTCTAATAAAATTGTTCCCTAGAGAACAGACATTCAATTATTGTTAAAAATTTTAATAGAATTCTTTGCAATATTTCATTATTTTTAAAAACTTTTCGCAATTCAATGATTTTCAATATCTACTATTTTCATTAAATTTCCAAAGAGAATTCAATGATTTAAAAAAATTTTTTTTTTTAAATCTTCGTAAGAATTCAATTTTTCTTATGAATAATACAAATTTCTCAGGAATTCAATTATTTAAATTAGAGTTTGCATAAAATTTGTCAATAGAAATCAATATTTAAAAATTTTTATAAAATTCTTAGAAAGAATTACATTTTTCGTCTCGATGAAAAGCATAAAGTTCCTGTCTCTAAATATAATTTTTTTTTCTTTTTATTTCCAGTAAATTCGCTGCTTATTTAATTTGTTCAATTGAAACAATATTTTGTCGTTGGATATTTCGAACGACAAATCCAACGATTAGATACTTTTTAATGATGGTTGGGGTCACCTTGAATTTATTTTGAGAATAACTAAAAATATCTGTGTAGCTCCTTTGGAATCAAAATTGAATTCGTATTTTTTAAAGTTTTTTGAAGTATATAACATTCTTTTTAATATACTTCTTTACGAGAATTTTAAAGCAGAATTTTCTAAAGTAATTGAGAGACAAAAATAACATTGCTGACAAGTACGAGATAAAGTATATATACTCTGATTGTTGTGTGAGATAAAAAAAAGGAGTTGCACAATTTTTCTTTTCTCACGATTTTTTTTCGAAGCTTCGATTTCAAGGAAAAGGGGAAAATGCGGTTGAGAAAAATTTTTTTTTTAGTTAAAATATGTAGAAGAATAAATTTTAGAAATTTTTTTACTCTCGCTTAGTGGAAATAAAATTTATCGTTTAGGTTTCCATTACATCTAAAATAATTAATATAATCTGTTTATAGTTTTATATAGGACAACATTTTTTATTTTCAAAAATCATCTTCAATTTTTGAATAATTTCAAATACAAAGTTTAAAAAAATTCAACTTTAATAAAATTCTTTAAAACAATTCAATTATTTTCAATATGCAATTTAAATTAAATTCGTCGAAAAAATTGGCAAGAGTTCAATTATTTTCAATTTAATTTTAATAAAATTTCTTTGAAAGAATTCAATTATAAAAGTTTAATTATTTTCAATGCAATTTTAATTAAATGCCTCAAAATAATTTAAATATTGTCACAAAATTTCCCGGGAAATATAATTCATGACCGGGAATTTTTTTTATGAAAAAAAAACGGTCATATTTACATTTACTTAATTTTTAAAAATTTTATGTTGGTTTTAAAGAAAAAAAAATATATTTTAACTTTAAAATTGAATTTCGAAAATTAAGTGGGTGGCAGTTTAAGTTTAATTTGCCGATAAGATATATTTTGAAGTGTCTTTTGGAATTTTGAAAAAGTATTGATAATGATTTCTCCTTTGCAGACATTCACAGCATGGTGCAATTCACATCTCCGGAAAGCAGGAACTGCGATCGAATCGATCGAAGACGACTTCAGGAATGGATTGAAGTTGATGCTCCTACTTGAGGTGATCTCTGGTGAAACCCTTCCAAGACCCGACCGTGGAAAAATGCGCTTCCATAAAATTGCCAATGTAAACAAAGCCTTAGACTATATTGCCAGCAAGGGCGTGAAGCTCGTCTCTATTGGAGCAGAAGGTGAGCGCATTGGATTAATTTGCAATTTCTAAAAATTACGTCAGTATTTTATCCAAAATTCAATTATTTTTTAGAGTTTTCAATTAAAATTCTTCTTTAAAGAAATTATTTTTAGAAATTTTTGAAAAAGTTTTTTGAGAATTCGATTATTATAATAATGAGGATTTAATTTAAATTAAAAATTAAATTGCTTTTAATTGAGTTTTACGATATTTTTATAATGTACGAAAATTTTTCAATTAATTATATAAATTCAGAAATTAAATTAATTTCTAAAAAACTTGAATCAAAATTTTTCAAAAACTTAAGTTGAATATATTTAGTTCAAAAAGTTTCAATTTTTCATTTTTATTTCAAAAGAAAGTAAAAATTACAAATACATAATTTAAATAAAAAATTTTGAAGAAGTTAATTTTTAAAAAATTGTAATTACAATTTTTATGAAATTAGTTAAATTTTTGAATCCTATAAATTTAATTGAAATATTTTCAAATAATTGAAATTTCGTTAAATTGAATTCTAAATAAGTGGATTTCAGAATTACTTCAGTTGAACTTTCTCTTTTTGTTTGAATAATTGAACTTATTAAATATTTACCTAAAAAAACTATTTCGTTTACAATTTTGATAAATAGATGAACTTTAAAAGGCTTTTATTTGAAATTTTATAAAATTTCAATTTTGAATGAATTTTATTAAAAATTTTATAGAACTTCGATTTTTGAAAAATTTTAATAATTCAAATTCTTCTGAAAATAGTTCAATTTTTTAATATATATTCAATTAATTATTGAAAGTAATGGATTTATAGGAAGAATCTTGGTTAAAAACACTAAAAAAAATTGAATTTTCAAGAAGGAACAAATTTAATGATTGTCAAAATTCAAATTTGTTCAAAAATTTTTAAAAATTCTTTTCAAATTTTCAATTATCTTTATAAATAATAAAATTCTTCTCCAAAATTCAGTTACTTTCCAAAATTTTAATTAAATTCTTGGCAAAATTTCAATTATTTTTAAAAAATTTTCTTAATTCAATGATTTTCAATATCTATACTATTTTAATAAAATTTTCCAAAAGAATTCAATTGATTAAAAAAAGTTTAAGTATAAAATTCTTCTAATTTAATAAAAATTTAATTATTTTCATTAATAATAAATGCTTCACAGAAATTCAATTATTTATAAATTTTTTATCATTTTTTCTCAATAATTCAAGTATTTTCATAAATACTAACATTTTTTACAGACATTCAATTATTTTCTATAAAATAGTAAAATTATTTTTAAGAATTCAATTACTTTTATAAAAAATAACAAAACTCATCGTAGAATTTCAGTTATTTTTAATACAATTTAAAATTTTTTTATTTATTTAAAAATTTGTACATAAACTTCTTTATGAGAATTCAATTCTTCTTCGAAATTTAATTATTTTCAAAAATTTTAATAAAATTCTTCTCCGAAATTCAATTATTTTCAAAAATTTTAATAAAATTTTTCTCCAAAATTCAATTATTTTCAAAAATGTTAATAAAATTCTTCACCGAAATTCAATTATTTTCAAAAATTTTTATAAAATTCTTCTCCGAAATTCAATTATTTAAAAAAAAATTTTAATCGAATTCCTCGAAAAATGGTATTATTCTTAAAAATTTTATTAAAATTCGTCAAAAGAATTCAATTATTTACAAATTTTTTTATAAATTTCTTCTCAGTAATTCAATTATTTTCGTAAATAATAAAACTCATCGCAGAATTTCAATTATTTTTAATACAATTTTAATCGAATTCCTCAGAAAATGTAATTATTCTTAAAATTTTACTAAAATTCGTCGAAAGAATTGTATTAAACAAAAATTTGTTTATTTATTCTTTATAAGAATTCAATTCTAAGAAATATTCAATTATTCAATTAATTATTAATTTTTGTATTTAAATAATAGAATTCTCGTAAAATTTTCTAATAAATATTGATTTAAAAATTAATTTTAGTTAAAATTTTAGAAAATAATTGAATATTAAAAGCATTTTTGTGTGAATTTTTAGAAATAATTGAATTTTTGAAAAGGTTTAACATTGAAATCTTTGAAAATCTGATTTTTTCATACTTTTAATTAACAATTCTGTAGAATTATTTTTTTTTTAAAAAGTATAATTGAATTTTTTTCTGAAATCATTTGAAGTTTCTATTTTCTAACGTATATTTTTTTAAAGAATTTCTGAATAATCGAAATTTCACGTAAAATTGAATTGTAAATATAAATGGATTTGACAATTTTCAAAGAACTTTTTCAAAACTTATTAAAAATAATTGATTTAAAGAAGAATTTTAGTTAAAAATCTTAGAAAATAATAATTTTATTGAAATGATAAAAATAATTTTGAAGAAGTTGGAGTAACAATATTTTTATAATATAAAATAATTTTTTTATCTCTCGGTCATTATTTAATTAAAAAACATAAAGAAATCGATGAATCCGAGTCGAAGACTGGGAGTCATCGATTTCTTTATATATTTTTTTAATAATATTCTTATAAGTTATTGAATTTCAAAATGCCTTGAACTTGAAATTTTTGAAAATTTTAATTCCTTTCAAAAATCAGGGAAAAAGAAAATAGAAATTTTTCTGGCTGTTACTGCTTGTAGAGTTAAATATTCAATTATCCAAATATTTATCATATTCTGTAATTTATTAATTGTTTTACTAATTAATTTATTTATTTATTTATTTATTTATTTATTAATGCTGTGAATTTCTCCAACAGAAATCGTTGACGGTAACTTGAAGATGACACTCGGAATGATTTGGACGATAATTCTGAGGTTCGCCATTCAGGATATCTCCGTGGAGGAAATGACTGCGAAAGAGGGTCTTCTTCTTTGGTGTCAACGCAAAACTGCCCCCTACAAGAATGTCAATGTGCAAAACTTCCATCTCTCATTCAAGGACGGTCTCGCCTTTTGCGCTCTCATTCATCGTCATCGTCCCGATCTCATCGACTACAATAAACTCAGCAAAGACAATCCTCTTGAAAATTTGAATACCGCCTTTGACGTTGCCGAAAAATACCTCGATATCCCCAGAATGTTGGATCCCGATGGTGAGTTTTCAAAAATCAAAAAACATTTCCTCTTCATAATCTCCATTATTTTCCCTAAGAATTTTAATTCCTTTTTGGACCGAATTCATTGTCTGGTCTGAAAGGGAAAATTATTGTTTCCAGTTTTTCGATTTTAAATTGTCAGCTTTATGAATTTTCGTTCCGTCTAATGTGGAGCAAATTTAAAAAAAAATTTGGTTAAATTCCAACTGATTGGATTTAAAAAGAAATTCGCCAAGTGAATTTTGAATCTGTAATTCGACTTTTGCCTACTTTACAGCGATTAAAGGTTAATAAAAAATATTTTCAGTTTAGTTCTTAGTATAGAAATAAATTTCGAAAAAAAAACCTTTTTTTTAATCTCATTTTTGAGCTTTTTCATTTTATTTCATTTTCTATTTTTAAAAAACCTTTGAAAAATATTGTTTTTACTTATTTGGACGTGAGTTATGTTTCTAAAATAAATAAAAGTGTATATTTTATCTTTAAACTTGAAAAGATGACGTAAAACAAGTTTTAAATGTTACAGTCAACGGTCTTACAAATAATTAAAGAAAACGTATTTCTAAAGTTTTGAACTTTTATTTGGTTCTTCTTTAAACTAAATTTTTATTAGGTACAATAATTTTTGTCACGTATCAAAATAATTAACTACAAAGTTTCTTAGTGTTAAATTGAAGATTTTAATTTTTATTAAATTACTTTTTGCTTTTAAATTAGTTAAATTTTACAAATAAATAAATAAATTCTTTTATTTTCAAATTTTAATTTTTGAATAATTTCATAATCGAAATTTAAAAAAATTACTTATTAATTACATAATTAATTATTATTGTTTATAATATTATCAAAAATGTTAATATAATTCTTCACAAGAATTCAATTATTTTCATAAATAATAACATTTTTCGGGGGAAATAGTAAAATTCTTCGTAGGAATTGAATTATTTTCAATATAATTTTAATAAATCCATTGAAACAATTCAATTATTTTTTAAAATAGTAGATTCTTTGCAAAAATTCAATTATTTTCAATTATTTAAATTTTTTTCTTCTGGATACTGAAAATCTTTTTTTCTGTAAAATTCCTTTAAGAAATCCATTAATTTTCAAAACGTCTAAATAAATTTGTTGAAAAATATTCAAATATCTTCTTTTAAACTTAAGAAATTTTAATTATAATTGCAAAATTAAATTTTTAAAAAATAATTAAAATAATTTTAAAATTGAGATATCAAAATTTCAATTATTTTTAAAATTTTTAAGAATTGTAAAATTTATTTAATTATTTTCAATAAAAATTAGAAAATGACACAATTTGTTAATAAAATATTAAATAAAATTCAATTATTTTCAACAGTTTTGATAAAATTTTTAAGAAAAATTAATTATTTTTAAACGTTTTAAAAAAAGTTTTCTATTAAATCCAATTATTTTTTAAGATTTTTAATAAAATTCTTCCAAAACATTTAATTGTTTTAAAAAATTATGATTAAATTCTTCAAGACAATGAGTTAAAAATGAGATTTTTTTAATTTTAGAAGATAACGTTTGTTGTTAAAAAAGAATGTAATTTTTGTAATTCTTATAATTTTAAAAATAGTGTATTTTCTACGCAGTTATCTAAATGACAATTAATGATAAAAAATGCATATTTATATTATTCTTTATAAACATTTTGACCTCATATTTAAAAAAATTTTAATTCCTTGTAAAGTAAAAAAAAAACTATTAATTATTAAAAATTATAAGAGAAACGTAAAAAATTGTGGATGAACAATAATAGAAAATTTATAAGAATAGTTTTTTTTTGTAAAATTGTTTCTGAATTTTATAAACTACAATAAGTAATTTAATATACTTTGCAATGTTGGGAAATAAATTCACATCTCTAAAAATTGTAAATTTTCATGTGTTTTCTAAATTTACGTAAAATTTATATTTTCGTAATTTTCGAAATTTTATAACTTTACTGAACTGAAGTGGAAAATTTGTTTTAAGACCTTTAATCGCTTTTGGTTGAGCAAAAATTATTGAAAGGTAGAGTACGAATAGAAATTGTATATTTTTTCACTTTTATAAATTAAATTTGAAAGAATTTGTAAAATGTGTATTTTTAAAAAAGAGGTATTTGGAAAAACCGAAATTTTTTTTTCTCAAAAATTTGGCTGACCATCGAAAATTTATAAACTGATATTGGGCCAAGTTGAAAGAGGTACAAATCACACAGGCCTCGGATTGTATTCGACTTTTCTTAATAAAATTCTACTTTTTGTAGAAGCAGTATAAAATACTGCTTATTTTTATTACATAAAAAAATTATGGACTAAATTTTACTATTTACGAAATATGACTCATTAATTATTTACTGTTAAATTTTGTAATTATATTTTTATTTTAACAATTTTTAAATTTCCAGAAAAAATTTGTTTTCTTTTTTCGAGTCATTCGGCACAAAATAAATTTTTATCGCAAAAAAAAGTATGATTTTGGTTTTTAAAATATTTCAATAAATAATAAAATTTTTTAAATAATTTCAAAGTCAAATTTTCATCCAATTAAAATAGAAGAAAAAAAATGTATTTTCCTAAAATTTTGGAAATTTTGCTTTTTATATAATTTTTTTTTAAATAATATATGTATTTTATTATTTATTAAATATTTAAAATTATTAAAAATATAATAAAGGAGTTTGACTAAATTAATTAATTAACGTAAGAAACGATTTGTAGAAAATAAATGAATGAAATAAACAACTTTTTTACTTTTAAAAATTGAATTGAAAGAAAAAAAGTAAAGAAAAAAAGAAAAAGTCCGAGGCCTGTGCAGAAACACTAACATAAATCGAAAGGTAATTTCGCGAATTTCTGATGCGCTGTATTCATTAGATTTGATCAACACTCCCAAGCCGGATGAGCGGGCAATCATGACTTACGTGTCCTGCTACTACCACGCGTTCCAGGGTGCACACCAGGTCAGCGCAATGAATCGCGTGATTTTCTTCGAATTTTAAATCCAAGTGGCCTTCTAACAATCGAATTAAAAATTTACGCTTACCTCTAATTGCATTTATGTTTTCCCCCCTTTTGTTCTTTTTTTTCTTCCTTCTCTTCTCAAATCAAGTCTCAACTTGACATCTAAGGTTTCTTTAACGACCAAATATTGTTGATAACTGCTAATTTCAGTATTCAAATTATTTCCATATTCAAATTAGCAGCAATATTTTTTTTTAGAAAAAATAGTTTTAACAATTCAATATAATTTTTTTTTAAACAAATGAATTGTTATGATTAACAACAATTAATTATTTAACAACAGTTATTTCAACATTGAAATTATTTCAAACTTTGGAATGGCGAACTTTGTAATTTGTAATTTTGAAATTATTTCATACATTGAAATTTTTTCTGTTGAATTTATCAAAACTTTTTTTTTTAATTATTTCTACTGCTGTTGAATATTGTTTGAGAGATCTCTCTAAAAAATGACGATGTAATGAAAAAAAAAGTAATATTAAAATAATATATTAATAGAAATATTATTTATTAATTGAAATATTTATTAATATTATTTACTATAAAATTGGCCATGTTACTAGTTTCTTATTTAATGTGTAAAATTCTCCTTTTCTAATTAGATATACTGAAACTTTTTTTCTATTATTCAAATTTAAACATTACAAGAGAAGAATTTTTTCGTTTTTACCTAAATTTTTATCTTTTTTTTATTGAGAAGAAAATAAATTTTTCTTGTATAATTTTTTGTGGAAAATTATTTCATTTGAAAAGTGTTAGAATATTAAGTAAAGATCCTAAAAAAATTGATAAAATAAAAAACTAATTTTCCTTAAAAGCAAGGAGTTAACAATACAAAAAATAAATTATTAATTTTTTGTCGTCATTTTGTGAGAGGATTTTCTGAAATTAAAATAATTCAAAGGCAGTGTAAGAAATTGTGAAAAAAATTGTTTTGCAAGAAAAATGCTTGTTTTATTAATGAAATAATGAGAATTGAAATAAAAGAGAAGGATGAATGATCTAACCGTGCATGGTTTGAATTTTTGGACTGTGTTTTTTTTAGACATGCGAAACACAGCAATGCCTGATGAACGGGCTGTGATGACCTATGTATCCTCGTATTATCATTGCTTCAGTGGTGCCCAAAAGGTGTGTTTCTCATCTTTTTTTTAAATTTATATTTCAAATCCAAAAACAAGTTTTTTAATTTTTTTTTAGAAATTATTCCACCACATCCTTTTAATTTTTAACAAAAGTCAACAAAAGTTCTGTGAAGGAATGGCATAATTTCTTCCTCAGAATTTATTTACTTTTGTTTCTCTTATTTTTTTTACAAGCATGAATATTCCCCCAAATCTTATGTGACATAAAAGTTTCATTTTAAATTTCATTTGTCATAAATTCCATTTGACATAAAAGTCATTTTACAAAAAGTTCATTTCACATAAATTTCATTTAATTTGAAAACACCACTTGTTATAAATCTCAACAGGCATTTTATTTGACATAAAATTTATTTAATATAAAGTTCATTTAACATAAAAGTCATTTATCATAATTTGCATTTGACATAAGTTTTATTTTATTTAACATAAAATTTATTTGACATAAATTCCATTTGATATAAAAATCATTTGTCAAAAATCTCAATTTTCAAAAGTTTCATTTGACATAAAAGTCATTTGACATAAATTTTATTTGACTTTTATTTGATGTAAATTTCATTCTATATATAAAGATCACTTGTGAAAAATCTCAATTGCCATAAGTTTCATTTGACATAAAAGTCATTTGATACAAAAATCATTTGACATAAAATTCATTTGACATGAAATTTATTTAACATTGGCGCGAAATTTAAAAGAAACCAATTAGATTTTATCTCAAGAAAATGAATGGCTAATTTTAAAATTCGTTGCTATATTTTTATGTCAAATGATTTTTATGTTAAATGAAATTTATGTCAAATGAAATTTATGTCAAATGGAAATTATATTAAATGGCTTTTATGTCAAATAAAACTTTTTGACAAATAAAATTCATCTCAAATTAGTTTTATAAAAAAAAATTATGTTAGATAAATTTTAGGTAAATTTTATGTCAAAAGGGAATTATGAGTTTTATGTCAAATGAATTTTAAGTCCAATGAAATTTATGTCCAATGGTATTTTTGTTGAATTAATTTTATTAATGTCAAATACTAAATAATACTATTAAACTTATTATTTATTTTTTTTTGTTTAAATCACAGCCCTTAATCTCAAGGATCATTAATGGGCAATACAAAAAATGAACTATTAATTATAAAATTTAACAAAATATTGAAATAAAAATGAAATGATGTCAAATCAGAGTTGAGGAATATTCATGTTGCCCGTTTTTTACAATTTGAATTATTGTTAACAATTTTAATACTTTTTGATAATTTTAATTACTTTTAACAATGTTAATAATTTCCAATAATTTTAATTACTAATTTCAACAACTGGACTTAATATGTTTATAATTAAATCTTATGAAATTTATTTTCAAGCAAACATTTTTTACAAATGTTTTATTTACTGATTTAAATTACACAAATTTACGAATGAAAACATTCGAATAAATTGTGGAATTAATACATATTTTAAAAATATTTTTTATACATATTTTATATTAGCAAAAATAAAATATTTTTTTAATTATTTATTTATTTCTTCTTCAAAGGAAAATTTTACTGCGTCAGGTATAAAAACATAATTTATAAAGTTTCCAAATAGGGCGCATTCCAGGTGAAATTTTCATTAAAAGAAATTTTTTTAATTTTTTTATTGAATATAAATTGTGGAAGTTGTAATATTTTTAAATTCAACTTTTGAAAAACGTTTTTCTCAGAAATAAATTAATTAAAATAACTTTTTTTTATGTAGCAAATAAAAAATGTACTTTATAAAACTTATTCGTTTTTTTGGGAAGTTTTTAGATATTCAATAAAAAATTACGAATCTGCAAACGAAAGTATCTAAAAAATTGGAATTAATTCGAAAAAGTGTCTTCGGCTTCTGAAGAAGTTGAATTTAAAAAAATCACAACTTCCACAATTTTCATTCAGTAACAAAATAAAAATTTACGTATTTTCTTATTTTTCACAAAGAGTTCGAAAAAAAAGTTCTAAAGTGTTCCAACAAAAAGAATATTTTTAATAAAAATTTCGCCTGGAAGGCCCCAAATAGTAAATTTAATTTTTAATAGATTTTTAATTTTTATCGCAATCAGTAATTTTGGAAGATGTATGAAAAAGAATTTGGTTAATCATTTGAACGTTTAAAACTTGTGGATTATCAAAAATTAAAGAGATTAATTTTCGTCAAATTAAGAAAATTTATTGTCGGTGGAAAATGGAAAAGGCGAAATTCCTGAGAGAGAAATTAATATATGATTTGTTTGGGGGTGGGAATGCAGGCCGAGACAGCAGCCAACAGAATTTGCAAAGTTCTGAAGGTGAACCAGGAAAACGAACGATTGATGGAAGAGTACGAGCGACTTGCCTCCGACCTCTTGGAGTGGATCAGAAGGACAATGCCCTGGCTCGCAAGTCGACAAACGGACAATTCGCTCGCTGGGTGTCAGAAGAAGCTGGAGGAGTACAGAACTTACAGACGCAAACATAAACCACCACGCGTCGAGCAGAAGGCAAAACTCGAGACGAATTTCAACACTCTTCAAACGAAACTCAGGCTAAGTAATCGGCCCGCTTACATGCCGACCGAAGGGAAAATGGTCTCCGACATCAATAAGGCCTGGAAAGGTATTGCAATCACTCAAATTATCTTTGAATTACTTTTTATTCTTTTTCTATTTTCGCATTTTACATTTTGCCTTTTTTTTATTCTTCACTCTCAGTGGTTTAAATTAAATTAAATAAGATTAAATTAAATACTTAGATTAAAACTTTCAGGTTTGGAACTGGCCGAAAAGGCGTTTGAGGAATGGCTCCTGTCCGAGATGATGCGCCTGGAACGACTGGAACATTTGGCGCAAAAGTTCAAGCATAAAGCTGATGCCCACGAGGACTGGACCGCTGGCAAAGAGGAAATGCTGACGTCCCAACACTTCCGCCAGTGCAAACTTAACGAACTCAAAGCTCTTAAAAAGAAGCACGAGGCATTCGAAAGTGATCTCGCTGCTCATCAAGATCGTGTTGAGCAAATTGCTGCCATCGCTCAGGAACTTAAGTAATTTTCTTTTTTATTTCACAGACCAATGTGTTGAATTTTGTCTAAAAGCGATTGCGAGGCAGTACTTTTCGAAAATATCAAACTCAAGACTTTAATTCCAAAATTATACCAAGAAAATTTTCTTTTCGCACGAATAGTAAACATAGACTTTATACTCATCTTCTAAAAGCGAATATTCAATTTTTTTTACTTTTTTACCGTTTGATACGATTCAGATATTCTTTTTAGTTTTGTGGCGATAAAATTTACTTTTTCTTTTCTTTTTTTAAGAATTCATACTGTTTTTAAACACCTTCAGTACTATGGCAAAGATTTAATGACCAAAATCCTTGTCATAGGCACTTAATCACAGTTAGTCCCTTTTTTTTAACTTAATATTTTTTTTATCCCCTTAAATTAAAAGAATCCCCCTAAAAACCTCCCCCTTTTTTTAAAAAAAAACTTACAAAAATTTTCATGTTTTTATAAGGTAGAAAAATGTTTTAGTTATTTTGAAAAACAAAATTTCTACTGGGAAAATTTTAGTTTTTTACTTTTTTGAAACATAAAAATCTTTTCGTATTATTTTCTCAGAGTTTTTAAACTTAAAAATTTTTGTAGACAATGCAAAAAAAAAAATTTTTACTATTTAGAAGTAAGAGCTAAACTGTTTGAAATTTCTGTCAACTAGAACTACATATTTTCGTAACAAAAGTTTACTATGCTAAAAATATTTTAGCTATTTATTAAAATTTACTTTGGATTTTATAAAATTGACTCTGGAAATAAAGATTTTCAATAGCAAATTTTACTATTTCTACCAGTTAATTTTTGTATTAAATTTTTTTTAATTTTCTTCAAACGTAGCATAATTTGTTATTTAAAATTATTACTAGCAACAAATTAGCAATTTTAAAAATAATAAAATTTGAAAATTTTCTAATTTAAATTTTTGTTGAAAATACTAAAAAAATTCAATTTTGTAGAATTTAAAAATAATTGCAAAAATTCTTTAAAAAAAATATTTTACAAATAATTTTACAAATTTACAAATTTTTTATAAATTTCTTCGCAATAATTCAATTATTTTCATAAAGAATAACATTTTTTTAACCAGGAATTCAATTATTTTCATAAATAATAAAATTCTATACCTAGGTATGTAGGTTTTCAATTATTTTCATAAATAATAAAAATCATCGCAGAATTTCAATTATTTTTGGTACAATGTTAATGGAATTTCTCGAAAAATGTAATTATTCTTAAAATTTTTATTAAAATTAATTTTCAAAGATTTTAATGAAATAATTTTTAACAATTCAATTTTTTTCAAAATAATTTGAATTAAATTCTTCGTAGAATTAAATTAATTTCAATAATATCAGAATTCAATTATTTTTAATATCTACTATTTCAATAAAAATGCACAAAAAAATTCAATTATTTATTAATATTATTTAATATTATTAAAATTCATCGCAAGAATTAAGGTCATGTTATTCAGTGGTCACGTGCTCCATATACTTTACTATGGGAACACGTGACCACTGAATAACATGACCTTAAAGTATTTTTCATAAATAATAAATTTTTCTCAGGTATTCAATTATTTTCAATACAATTATTAAAAAATTCGATTGTATTCAATAAATTAAAGAAATTTTTCAAAAAAATTCAATTATTTTCCAAAAATTTTTAATAAAATTCAAGATTCCGGTTGACACGAACGAGTCTCTGTCCCCCTAAGTATTCGTGTTAACGAAGTTTCACAACTGTACTTTAAGAATTTTTTATAAAAATTATTAAAAGAAACTTTATTTTTTAATATTTTTAAAAAATTTAAATAAATTCTTCAAAACAATTCAATTATTTTAAAAAATGTTAATAAAATTCTTGCCAAGAATTAAGTTACTTTTGAAAATTTGAATAATAATATTTCGCGAAAGAATGCAATTAATTTCATAAATAATAAAATTCTATTCGGCAATTCAATTATTTTCCATACAATTTTAATAAAATATTTCGAAACAATTTAATTAATTTCGAAAATGTTTATAAAATTCTTGTCAAGAATTGAGTTATTTTTGAAAATTTTAATTACGTTTATCGAAAGCATTCAATTAATTTCATAAATGGCAAAATTTTATTCGACTCGAGGATTCAATTTATTATTTTGAATACAAATTTACTCAAATTTCTCATAACTTTTCAATTAATTAAAAAAATTTTGATAAAATCCTTGACAGGAGCTTAATTATTTTCATATTTTTTGATTAATACTTCATAATAATTACAACAAAATTTTATTTATTTGTTTAATAGTTATTATAATTTACTAATTGTATTATTTATTATTTTTTTGGTAAATTAAAATTTAATTTTTAATTTTCAGTTAATTTTAACTGTAATTTTATTTTTGCTAATTATTATTAATTTTATTTTTTATATATATTTGTATTTTAACTCATTTTAAAATGTTTAACTCCAGATTCTGTTAAAGAATCTTTGTTTGAATGTATTCGTTTGTCTAATCATTAAAACCACTCAGACGTTAAAGTCTATGGTATAATCTCCATTTAATATATTTAAGAGTTAAATGCCATAGAAATATATCCACAATTGTTTTTAGATGAAATTCAATGAAATTTATCCAATTCTTGGTTAAATTTTCCAGTAATTTCAGCAGTAATTCCAATAAATTGATCTATCTTTTTTTAATTGATATTTAGTTATTAATTAACATTTGGTAATTTTGCAGCACACTGGAATATCACGACAGTGCTTCCGTAAACGCCAGATGTCAACGAATCTGCGATCAGTGGGATCGTCTCGGAACCCTCACCCAACGCAGACGTCAAGCACTCGACGAAGCTGAACGCATTCTGGAGAAAATTGACATTCTGCATTTGGAGTTTGCTAAACGGGCTGCGGTAGGCATTATAATTTTAATAGAACAAATTGAAAATTAGTGATTAAATTATAAAGAAATTATTACCTATAAAAAATTGAATTAGAAAGAAGATAGCAGTGATTAGAATTGAGATTTTATTTTGCAGCCGTTTAACAATTGGTTGGATGGAACCAGGGAAGATCTCGTTGACATGTTTATTGTCCACACTATGGAGGAAATTCAGGGCCTAATGGACGCTCACGCCGCCTTCAAAGCAACCCTCGGTGAAGCTGACAAAGAATACAATTCAATCGTTGGCCTAGTTCGCGAAGTGGAATCAATAGTCAAACAATTTCAGATTCCTGGAGGTCTTGAGAATCCGTACACGACACTTACTGCTCTCGTATGTATCGCCTTCAATTTTTTATTACTGTTTTTTTATTCTTTTATTTAATTTTAGAATGCAATTTCTATTTTTGTTTAATTTTATTTTAGGATCTTACTAAAAAATGGAGTGACGTCAGGCAATTGGTACCGCAACGTGACGGAACACTGGCTGCAGAACTTCGCAAGCAACAGAGTATCCTTTTATATTTTAATTTTCAAGGGAATTTTATGCCAAGAACTCGTTTTTTGGTTAATTTTTCAACAGTGATCAGGAAGAAAGTCTGAATTCTTTCTGGAAATCACAAATCAGAGAAAAATTAAATTTAATTGTGTTTTTCATAATGGAATTTAGTTCTCGATTCCAAAAAATACCTTTTTTCGAAATGTAATTAATTCAACTTCTGCAGGTTTTATTGCTTTAGATAATTTCCTTAACGATGAAAACAGATAATGAGTTGTTGCGCAGACAGTTTGCAGAGAAAGCCAACGCCGTTGGTCCTTGGATAGAGCGTCAATTGGACGCCGTGTCTGCCATCGGACTGGGACTTCAGGGCACTCTTGAGGATCAACTTCTCCGACTCAAGGAATACGAGCAAGCCGTCTATCAATACAAGGCTCATCTCGAGGAGCTGGAGAAGATTCACCAGGCCGTCCAAGAGGGAATGATCTTCGAAAACAGATACACACAATACACAATGGAAACCCTCCGCGTCGGTTGGGAACAACTTCTCACTTCCATCAATCGTAATATTAATGAAGTCGAAAACCAGATTCTTACCCGAGACTCGAAGGTAATGTCAAATTCTCAAGCAATTTTTTTTTAACATGCGTTACTTCAAGTATTTTATTTGGATAAATAAAGAGAACAATTTGTAAAGTTCTTTAACTTTGCATTACGTGTCAATTTTTGGATATTTTTCTATAATAGTAATTTTATTATTAATTAAATTTTCGTGAAGAATGTGAACTGATTTTTTTGTGAAAATGTCCGTTTAGGGAATAACGCAAGAGCAACTAAACGAATTCCGAAGCAGTTTCAATCACTTTGACAAGAACAGAACTGGAAGATTGGCACCTGAGGAGTTCAAATCCTGCCTCGTATCGTTGGGATACTCGATCGGAAAAGACAGACAAGGAGACATTGACTTCCAGCGAATCCTCGCTATTGTTGATCCCAATAATTCTGGCTACGTTCAGTTCGACGCCTTCTTAGATTTTATGACCCGCGAATCCACAGACACGGACACTGCTGAACAAGTCATAGACAGCTTTCGCATTCTCGCTGGAGACAAGGTATTTTCATGTAACATTAGGTAAAAAAGGGGATTTTATTTTTCAAAAAGGGGATTCAGTTTAAAAAAAAAGAAAATTTTTTGAATTAAGTAAAAATTATTGTATTATAGCGCATAAAATTTATTTTAAACATTTTTTTTATTCTTTTAACTTCGGCTTTTTTAAATCAAATTATTTTTTTTTCTTAAACTTTTTCTGTTGATTATTAATATTTGTTTATCTTTTTCCGTAGTCCGTAACCTTCTTTAAATTTTCAATCAAAATTTTTATTACAACGCAACTTTTATTTTAAAATTACATAAATTTTACGATATACGATGTAAATGTCAGAAAAAAGTAGTAAAATTAACTAAGGACACGGAAAAATTTCCTTCAAATTTAGTCAAATTTAATATTAAAAATTGTTATTTTCAGAATAACTTTTACAATTTTCATAGACTATTTTTTATAAAAAATTACAAAAATTTACTCTAAAAACAAGAATATTTAATAGCTAATTGTAATGTTCGAGAAAAATTTGAATATTTGAAAATAGTAAATTTTGCTATTAAAAATCGTTATTTCTAGAGTAAATTTTATTAAAAATTAGTAAAATATACTTTGAATTTAGTAAAATTTATTCTGAAATTAATACAATTTGTCAAAAATTTCATACATTTGGAATTTTTTTTAGATGTAAAAGTTATTTCAAAAAATTTCTTTAATTTATTGAATATTATCAATTTTGTTAATATTTGTAATTAATAATTTTACTATTAAAATTTTAGTAATTAAAATCTTTTGAAGAATTTCTTTAATTTTTTTTTTAAATAATATAGTTTTTTTTAATAATTTCAATTGCATTAAATAAAGAATTTTTTAAATTTTTTAAAATCATCGTGTCTGTTAATAATTATAATTAACTACTTGTTTATTGAAGTTTATTTCATTTATTGAATTGAAAAAATTCATCTCCTGAGAAGAATTTAATTATTTATAAAAATATTCCAATTCTTGAGATGAATTTTACAACTTATTAAAATAATTGAATTATTTCGAAAGATTTTAAATTTTAGGACATAATTGAATTCTTTCGTGAAATTTTATTGAAAATAATTGAATTTTTGCAAAGATTTTACTATTTAAAAAAATAATTTAATTGTTTCAAAGGATTTATTAACATTTTTAAAAGTAATTGAATTTTTTGAAAAAATTTGATTACGAATTAAGAAGAAATTGAACTGTTTCGAAGGATTTCTTAATTTAAAAATAATTGAATTCTTTAGAAAAATTTTATTAAAATTTTGTTGAAAGTAATTGAACTTTTGCAAACAATTTTACTATTTCTAAAAATAATTGAATTATTTCGAAAGATTTTAAATTTTAGGACATAATTGAATTCTTTCGTGTAATTTTATTGAAAATAATTGAATTTTTGCAAAGATTTTACTATTTAAAAAAATAATTGAATTGTTTCGAAGGATTTATTAAAATTTTATAAAATAATTGGATTCTTTTAAATTATTTTATTGAAAATAATTGAATTTTTTTTGCAAAGATTTTACCATTTTAGAAAATAATTGAAATCTTTCATGGGATTTTATTAAAATTTTGTTGCAAATAATTGAATTTTTTCGTGAAATTTTATCAAAATTATGTTGAAAGTAATTAAAATTTATCAAAAAATTGTAATATTTACAAGAATAATTGAATTGTTTCGACGGATTTATTAAATTTTTTTATGTAAATAATTGAATTATTTAGAAAAATTTGATTACGAATTAAGAAAAAATTGAATTGTTTTGAAGGATTTATTATTTTTAAAATAATTTAATTCTTTAGGAAAATTTTATTAAAATTTTGTTGAAAGTAATTGAATTTTTTCAAAAAATTTTACTATTTATAAGAATAATTGAATTGTTTTGAAGAATATTATTATTTATGAAAAGAATTGAATTATTGCGAAGAATGATATTAACATTTTTGAAAATGTAAACAATAATAATTAATAATTTACCAAATATGTGAATTTTTAAATTTTTTCTGTTTCAGCCTTACATTCTAGCGGATGAACTTAGACGAGAATTGCCACCAGATCAGGCGGAATATTGCATACAACGAATGCCTCCATTCAAAGGTCCTGGTGGAGCGCCAGGTGCTCTCGATTATCGTTCTTTCTCTACTGCTCTCTATGGCGAATCTGACCTTTAAACTCCCATTGGAGAAAAAAAAAGAGAGAGAGAAATCTTTATACAAACGACACATACATTTTCATCCCTCGCCATTGATTGAGTCGATATTTCGATATTTTCCAATATCGAGTGCAAGAAAGAAAAAAAGTTTAAAGTACTTAATTGAGAGAGAAAAGAGCCGAGAAATTCATCACAACAGACGCAGACATAGGTGGGAAACAAGAAAAGCCCTTACTACACGCACAAAATGGTAACAAATTTTATTGCCCCTCCAAGGCAACAAAAACAAAATCAGAATGCTTAAAAAATAACGAGGAAAATTAATAATCTTTCGAATTTAACAAAACTTGAATATTTTTTTATTGCAAGGAGGCATTCATCTCAGAACGAAATTCATAATACAAAAAAAAAAGAATATCATAAGATTAGTGTCTTTTGCAGTACCTACATGTTTACTAAAGAGACAATAATATTTTTCTATCTCGTATATTACATAGTCGACAAAAAAATAATACGCAATGCACTTTAAACGTCGATGATTTGAAGAGAAAAAAAACAAACAACCATATCAATTAACTTTATAATCAAATCACCAAAAAGCTAATCATCAATTTTTAATTCTTGATTTTTTTTTGTCAATACGAGGGAGATATTTTACGGTGATTAGCTAAAACCAAATGAATTGCAATTTGATTGAAAAGACTCTCGCGAGTCTTAATTCTAAATATTTATATTTAAAAAATATTGACTTTGAGAAAAATTTACAATTTATATCAAATACGAATTCCTTTTTAGGAAGCATTTATATTAATTCTTTTTTTTTTTTAATTTATACTCGCGAGTTATTTTTGAAATATTTATAAAAGAATAAAAAAATAAATTTTAATTAAAACTGGAAAGAAAAAAAATGATCGACTATCGCCTATTTTTTAAAGGAGAATCCAGACGCAAGCTTAAAATCGAATATATACATAATATTTTTTTATAAAGGCGGCAAAAAAAAGAATGAGAGCCGTCAATGTATTTTATAAATCGTATATTGAAAATACGCGAAACGATGCTAAACATACAAATTATTTATTTATTTGATTTATTATTTATTAATATTACCGATATTAAATTAAACGTAGTCAATGAGAGAGAAATGTTCTTTGAAAGTTATTTATTTTTATAAATATTTGCTCCGATGCGATTGGACTGTTGCGAGGCAATAGCCAAGCGGATATAAAATTTCGAAAAAATAATTTCGAAAAAGAAGGGAAAACTTGGGAAAAAACAGCTGCCATCGCCTTTACGTGTAGTAAGACACAATTTATACAGTCATATGTAAATTAGTTTATTAAGACATTCATCTCCACTTGAAAAAAACATCGTATAATTGAACTTGTGTGAAATGCAGTAAAAAAAAAATAATAAAAAGTACGAAATAAGTTTTGTTTGGCTTTGAAGCTTAATGCTTTTTTTTGAGAATCCGTCTTAACGAAGGTTTGAGACTTTTGTCGTACGATTTTCTTTTTTTATAATATTTTGCCGAAAATTCGATTGGCAGCTAAGAATCACATGTTTTATTTTAGTTTTATTTTAGAGAAGATTTTAATTTAATTTGATTTTTTTTTTTTTTTTTAGTAAACAATTATTGTACAGTTGTAAGTAAACTTTGGATGCACACCTTTTTTTTTGCAGAATATTATAAATGAAATAATTTTGAGGAAAAAAGAATTTATTATCGCAGAAGGCAACAACGAATGAAAGTCTCAAACAGAATTTTTCATTTGTTTGTATTATTTAAGAGATTTTTTCTGTACACAAATAGAAATGCATACACCTACATTCACTCACTTGAACATACATACATATGTAAATGTTATATATGATAAAATTTTAATCTAAGTGTCAGTAAAAATGTAATGCTAAATGCTCCTCCTTCGATAAAGTCGTGTCCCGCATCGCATTACATCGATCGAATATATTTCTTCTGTCTATTTTATTTTCCTGTACTGGTTTAATAACGAATATTATTGTACAATGAGGAAACTAAAAAAAAAAAATAAAAAAAAAGTTCTGCAAAATTACTTGTATTTGTACGTATTTTATTCTTTTTAGAAAGGACCCCGTAGAAATAAATTAGTTTTTAGATGTCAGTCGATTTTTTTAAATAGATTTTCAATTTTAAGTTTTTATTCAGTCTGAAGAAAACTATTAATTAAAATCAAAAAGTTACAGGACAATTGACTGGGACCCAAAACTAATGTATTTTTTGCGGGGTCCTTTATTGTTTCTAATACAGTCAAACCTGTCTGAATGCAACTCGATTTCTTACTAATTTTAAAAAAAACTTCGAAAGAATTCCATTATTTAAAAAAATGTTAAGTAAAATTCTTCGCAGTAATTAAATTATTTTCATAAATAATAAAATTCTCAAGAATTCAATTATTTTTATAAATGATTAAATCCATCGCTAGAAGTCAATTATTTTCAATGTAAATTTTAATAACATTTTTCGACCAAATTCAATTATTTTTGAAAATTTAAAAAAAAATTCTTATTAACTTTTAAATTATTTTCATAAATAATAAAATTGATCGCAGGATTTCAATAATTTTTAATACAACTTTACAGGAATTGGTAAAAAAATGTAATTATTCTTAAAAATTTAATTTCAATTCCTCGAAAAAATCAATTATTTAAAAAAATTTTTTTTTTAATTCGTTGGCAGAATTCAATTATTTACAAAAATATTAGAATTTTCCTCAGGAATTCAATTATTTTCAAATATTTTAATAAAATTGTTCGAAAGAAATCCATTATTTTAAATACAATTTTAATTAAATTTTTTTGAAATAATTCAATTATTCTTTTAATTTTAAATAAAATTCTCCCTAAGAATTCAATTATTTATATAAATAATTCTTCGAAAGAATTCAATTATTAAAGATAAATAACAAAATTATTTCTGAAAATTCAATTATTTTGAGGCATTTTAATAAAATTCTTCGCAAAATTCAATTATTTTCATAAATTAACAATAATCACAAGGATTCAATTATTTTTAAATTATGTAAAAAAATTTTAATAAAATTTCACAAAAGAATTTAATTATTTTCTAAAATTTTAATAAATCCTTCGAAATAATTCAATTATTTTTGTAAATATTAAAATTTTTTAAAAAAATTCAATTACTTTCAATAGAATTTTAATAAAATTCCTCGAAAGATAATAATTATTTTTAATCATTTAAAAAAAACTTTTCGTAAAAATTAAATTATTTTAAAAAATGTTATGAAAATTCTTCGAAAGAATTCAATTATCTTCGAAAATTTTATTAAATATCTCCGAAAGAATTCAATTATTGTCAAAGATTTTTGTAAAATTCTTCTCAAGAATTCAATTATTTTTAACATGATTTTAATAAAACTTTTTGAAAAAACTCAATTAAAAGAATGGAAAATTCAAATTTTCAAAGATTTTAATTTGAAACCTATTCAAAATTAAATTATTTCTAAAAATCTACCCTATAATGCTTTTATTATTTAATTATTATCTAAAATTTTACCTGAAATTCATTTTTAAATAAATTTTTATTAGAAAATTCTATGAGAATTCAATTATTTAAATAAAAAAATAAATAATTTATTGAATAATGGAATATTTCACAAAATTGAATTCTCATAAAGTAGTTTATCAACAAATTTTTTAATAATTGAATTCTTTTGACAAATTTAAAAAAAAAATTTAAGAATAATTCCATTTTTCTAGAAACTCGATAAAAATTGTATTAAAAATAATTGAAATTCTGTGATGTGTTTTATTATTTATGAAAACAATTAAATTTATCAAAAGAATTTTTATTTTTTACGAAAATTATTGAATCCCTGTAAAATTTTTATTTTTTATGAAAATAATTGTATTATTGCGAAGAAATTTATAAAAAATTTGTAAATAATTGAATTCCTATGAAATTTTTATTATTTAATTCATTCATTCAAAATTGACATTTTCTAAAATTTCAAATTAAATTTTTTTTTAAATAATTGAATTCTTTTGGAAAATTTTATTCAAATAGTAAATATTGAAAATCATTGAATTGAGGAAAGTTTTTGAAAATAATTGAATTTTTGCGAAGAATTCTATTATTATAAAGATTATTGAAATTTTACCAAGAATTTTATTAAAATTTTTGAAAATAATTGAATTGGAGAAGAATTTTATTATTTTTAAGGATAATTGAAATTTCGACGAGAATTTTTTTTTAATTTTTGAACATAATTGAATTTCTGCGAAGAATTTCATTACTTTTGATTTTTTGAAAATAAATAGTTTTTTACAATTATTTGTAACTTTTCCAAAATTCAATTTTTTTTTAGTGTTTTTAACTAAAATTCTTCTGTAAATTCATTATTTTTAATAATTAAAAAAAAATTAAAGTTTTATAAAATTTCAAATTGAAACCTTTTGAAGTGGATTTTTTTATGAAAATTGTAAACAAAATTCAATTAATTTCGAAATGTTTAAGCAAAATTATTTATTAAATAATTCATATAAGTAATAACTTTACGATATTTCTTAAAGAATTAAGTTATTAAAATATAGAAATTATTATCAGAAATAGAAAAAATTGAAGGTTAATTTATTAAAATTCGTGGTAATTTCATAGTTTATGAGGCAAACAAAAAAGAAACCGAAAATTCATAATTTTCTTATGAATTCTAAAAATTTAATTTTTTCGAGAACTGTTAATAAAAATCCCTGACTTTTCCTTGAAATTCCTTATCTCTGGCAACCCTTTAATTATTAAATTTCGCGATTCAATTATTAAAATTGACAAAAAAATGCCTATTTTAAACTATAGATGATTTTTCACGCAAATTTACAAAAATGTCAAAAAAGGTGCATAACTTGCACAAAACTTAATATTTTTAGTTAAAATTTATACTACGTGTACTTCATTAATATATAAACTTACCCCCAAAGTTTAAAAAATATCGACTCATTACTTCTTATGTAATTAATTCGCGAAAATCGGCTTTTCTGAGCCATCACGCACTGGTCGTCTTTCTAAACTTATTGCCATAAAATTGTCCTGAGGCGAAACTTTTCAATCTTTTTTGAATTTTAATTACCTGAATATTGCAGCGTAATATTACCAAACTTTCCGAGTCATTACTCGGAAAAAAGTCAAAGTTGTGCTCATTATTTATATTCCTTCTCATGAATAATCCTTGTCAATTAGAATCATCGACATATTCTAATAAATCGCGATCAAAAATTCGAGTCCGAGTTCGAGTCTTGCATGTAAAAAAATAATTCGATAAACAATTTCTTTATTTTCTTTTAACCATTATTTGAATAACTGTTTTTTAAATTCATGCAGAAAATTGAACCAATCCGAGTGTTTTCAATGTGTATGTATATGTACACAATGATCGGAAGGATGGTAGGATTTATATTGGTTTACATCGTTTACATTCCCGGCAGTCAGTGAATCATCGATCTGGATATATATAAAGTAAGAAATACTTTCTTTAAAATCAAACCGTTTTGAAACTATTTTGTTTACAAGACAACAAAATTCGATTAATGATCAGAAATGGATACAAATTTTTCTCAATGTTGATGTTTCGTGTATGTATTTAAAAAAGAAAAAGTTCGCGCATAGTAAATATATAATATATATATATATATGTAGGTGAATGTATTCATGATGGCGGAGGCGCGTCTCCTTGCGTCGTAATTGTTTCGAATTGTTTCAAAATAAATGTAGTTTCGCGTTTACTGCAAATCCTTTCATGGTGGAATTTCATTAATTAATAACAAATTCACTCATTACAGTAATTATCTTTAATCGTCATAAAGTAAGTACTTTGGAAAATGATTAAATTTCTGCATTTCAAATTGCGCAGTTGTTGACAATGTCCTCGGTTTATTTTTCCTAATTTTCTTTCGCAAAATAACTTGTTTTCTATTTTATGACATTATTTTTATTTCAGTTGAACAAAATCGAGGAAAAAATACGTTTTTTTCTATTAGTTAATATTATATGTAAACAATTTTGTGGTTAGGATAACCTTCTGTCACTGTCGTATCTATATATATGTGTGTTTTAATTTTATCAAAATATATATCATTGTTGTTATATTTGTTTTGGATTCTTTTATTTTGCAAACGTATTGTTAGACTTTTTGCGTGTATTCTCTTTTTAAGGCGTAATATAAAGATTAGTAGAGGAATAATAATAAATTTAATGTGATTGCGCGGAAAAATCTTTTTTGCTTTGTTTTCTTGCGGTTTTTAAATTGTCTTTCATTTATTATTGAATGGAAAACATTGTTACGAGTTTTGATTTTTTCTAAAAGTATTTCACACTTGTTTCATTGTTCATTTATTTCCTTAAGGTATTTATTACAAGTTTTTTAATCATTTTGTTGGATTCTTATGAAACTTTGTATTTTTCTATTTTTAAAGGTAAAAAGTTAAAAAGAAAAAGTTGAAAAAAATTATTTAGCACGTTTTTAAATATACGATATGCCTAATTATCACATAAAAATCATTTGATAGAATTATCAGTCTTACGAAATTTGTTGCTTCGAATTAATATTTAATACAAAAGATTCATTTCGAATTAAATTACCTACAAAATTTTTTATTTTCAAATATGAATTTTTGAATAATTTCATATTCAAACTTTAAAAAACATTCAATTATTAATTAATTATTCTTGTTTATTAATTACAAAAATTTTAATAAAATTCTTTATAAGAATTAAATTATTTTTATAAATAATAACATTTTTCGTAAGAATTCAATTATTTTTATAAAGTAAAATTTTTTGCAAAAAATCAATTATTTTTAAACAAAATTTTAATAAAATTTTATGAACAAATATAATTTCTTTCCAAAATTTTAATAAATCCTTCGAAACAATTCAACTATTTTTTTTTAAATAGTAAAATCTTTGAAAAATTCAATAATTTTGTTAAATAATATAAAATCTTTGAAAAATTCAATTATTTTCAAAAATATTTCACGAAAGAATTCAATTCTTTTTTTAATTGGGTAAAAAAAATCACAAAAGAATTCAATTATTTTCTAAAATTTTAATAAAATTCAATATTTAAGTGGTCAATTTCAATATTTATTAACAAACACGATTATTTTAAAAACTTAAAAGAAATTGTTCATAAAATTAAATTATTTTCAAAATTTTTAATTAAAATTATTAAAGAAACTCCATTATTTAAAAAAAAATTTTAAGTAATTCTTCAAAGAGAATTTAATTAGAATTTTCAAAAAATTTAACCAGATTTTTCAAAATGATGTTAAAAATTAAAAAAATAATCGAAGTATCCTGAAAAGTTGCGAAATTTTAGAATTTTTAGTACTCAACATTTATCTTTATAAATCTATTATTTTAATAAAATTTCCCAAAAAAATTTAATTATTTAAAAACAATTTCGACAAAGTTCTACACGAATATTCAATTATTTTCTAAAATAATTAAAAAATATCTTATTGAAATTCGTCGAAAGAATTCAATTTATTTAAGAATTTCTTTCTAAAATTATGTATAAGAATTCAATTTTAAGAAACATTCAATTATTCAATAAATAATCTATGTTTGTATTTAAATTATTAAATTCTCGTAGAATTTTCTAATAAAAATTGATTTAAAAATTAATTTTAGTTAAACTTTTAGATTAATTGAATTTTGGAGAAGTTACTAATAATTGTAATTTTTAGAAATAATTTAATTTTGTAAAAGTAATAATTTTTTTCAAAAAACTTAATATAAATTTTTTAAAATTATTTTAAGTGTTAAATTAAATGTACATTCAATTGAAGAATTTTCGTATAATCGAAATTTCAAAAAATTGAATTATAAACAAATAAAATTGAAAATTTTAAAAAGATTTTTATAAAAAATTATTAAAAGTAATTGATTTAAAAAAGAATTTTAGTTAACATTTTTGGAAAATAATAAATGAATTGAAATGATGAAATAAAAATATTATTATAAGTTATTGAATTTCAAAGGTTTAAATTAGAAATTTTTTTCTGTCTCAGAATATTCTTTGGGGTCAGGGAAAAAGTGAAAATTTAGTCTGGAAATAAGGGAAAAGTCAGGGAAAAACAAAATTCAATTTTTGTGGCAACTCTGTTGATCCAAATTTGTAAAAGTTATGAGCATGCAAAAAAAATTTTTTTTTCAAAACGTAAAATTTTGAAAAAATTTTTCAAGGGGTTGAAATTTCTTAAAAAATTTGTAGTTGGGTTTTTAATCTCTAGAAAAATACATAATATAAAATAAATTGTCTCTTGAAGTGATGTATTAAAATACATTCTCGCTAGAAGATAAAAGTAGAATAAGTTCTAAAACCGATAGCGAGTAAAGAATCCAACTTTTATTTTCTATTTTTAACAGGTTTTACCATGCATTGAAGTGAGAGAACTCCAGAAAAGGCAAAATGAGTGCTTTAGATTATCGAAGTAAAACTCACTCGATTTGGCATGGCCATCGAGTCGATGGGACAAGTCCGGCAATTATGGAAAGTTTAGACAGTCTCTCCATAAATAATCGCGATGGAAATCAATCTTTGACTATACCCTTCAATCAGGGAAATTTGTCTCTACATGGAGTGCCCTCATTGCAGGGAATTAATTCAAAGTCCTCATCACTTTCATTGGAGGAAATGCAAAGTTTCCTTCTCATTGACGAGAAGGAGCGTCTCAAGGTTTCAACGGCCGAGCAATTTGTCGATAAATTGAATTGCAACAACAGGGACTTAAAAATCAAAGTTGTTTCAATATTCGGTAATACCGGAGACGGCAAAAGTCACACTCTTAATCAGACTTTCTTTAAAGGTAAAGAAATATTCAAAACATCGAACGAACAAAGCTCCTGCACACTTGGCGTTTGGGCTGCCTTTGATTCTAATCTTAATATTATTTGCCTGGACACTGAAGGACTTTTAGGTAAATGTTAAAAATACAATTTTTTTTAACTATTCCAATGGTTCAAAAAAAGTTTAGTTTCTGTTATTAAATTGGGAACAAATTTAAAAAAATTGGGACTGAAATTTCACTCGTATCTGTTTATAAAATTTAATTCATCATTTATATTTAATAATAAATAATCAGGGTTCCCACGCAACATGAAAACCTGGAAATGTTAGGGAATTTTAAAAACCTTGAAAAAATTTGGAAAAGTCAGGAAATTTTTATCGGAATCCTGAACAATTGTTGTTTTCTAAAGTTATCGGTTTTTTTTTTGTATTCGATAAATATTCAATTTCTAGAACTCATAAGAAAATTCTAAATTTTTGTGTCTATAAACTATAAAATTAATACAAATTCTAATACAAATCCTTCAATTTTTTCTACTTCTGACAATAATTTCTTTTTAAATAACTTAATTCTTAAAAATCTATCATATATAATTATTTCTAAAAATTTTATTAGAAATTTTGAAGAACTTAAATTTTTGAAAAATTTTAATAATTAAAATTCTTCTGAAATTAGTTTAAATTTTTTAATATGTATTTAATTAATAATTAAACATAATGGATTTTCAGAAGAATTTTAGTTAAAAACATTAAAATTTGAAACACTAAAAAATTGAATTTTGGAGAAGTTACAAATAATTGCAGAAATTCAATTATTTTCAAAAATATTAAATTCTTCGCAGAAATTCAATTATTTTCAAAAATTCTAATAAAATTTTTGGCAAAATTTCAATTATTTTCAAAAATTTTCCTCAATTCTTAATAAAGTTTTACAAAACAATTCAATTATTTTCAAAAAAATTTAATAAATTTTACGCAAAAATTGAATTATTTTCATAATTAATAAAAATTTCACAGGAATTCAATTATTTACAAATTATTTATAAATTTCTTCGCAATAATTCAATTATTATAAATAATCACATTTTTTTACAGGAATTTAATTATTTTTAATACAATTTCAATCGATTTCGTCGAAAAATGTAATTATTCTTAAAAATTGTATTGAAATTCGACAAAAGAATGCAATTGTTTAAAAAATTTTTTAATGAAACTCTTTATTAGAATTCAATTTTGAGAAACATTCAATTATTCAAAAAATTATTTATTTTTGTATTTAAATAATTGAATTCTCGTAGAATTTCCTAATAAAAATTGATTTAAAAATGAATTTCAGTTAAAATTTTAGATAATAATAATTGAATATTAAAAGCATTATAGCGTGAATTTTTCGAAATATTAGAATCAAATTTCTAGAAAAATAAAATTATTCTTAAAAATTGTATTAAAATTTGACAAAATAATTTAAGATTTAAAAATTTTTTAATGAAACTCTTTATTAGAATTCAATTTTGAGAAACATTCAATTATTCAAAAAATTATTTATTTTTGTATTTAAATAATTGAATTCTCGTAGAATTTCCTAATAAAAATTGATTTAAAAATGAATTTCAGTTAAAATTTTAGATAATAATAATTGAATATTAAAAGCATTATAGCGTGAATTTTTCGAAATATTAGAATCAAATTTCTAGAAAAATAAAATTATTCTTAAAAATTGTATTAAAATTTGACAAAATAATTTAAGATTTAAAAATTTTTTAAATAAAATTCTTCATTAAAATTCAATTTTTTGAGAAACAGTCAATTATTTAATAAATTATTTATTTTCGTATTCAAATAATTGAAGAATTCTCGTAGAATTTTCGAATAAAATGTGTCAATGAATTTCAGTTAACATTTTTGATATATATATATTTAATTGAAGAATTTCTTAATAATCGAAATTTCTTAAAATTGAATTATAAACAAATGGATTTAAAAATTCTCAAAGAACTTTTTCAAAAATTATTAAAAAATATTTGATTTAATGAAGAACTTTAGTTGGAAATTCTAGAAAATAATAATTGAATTATTGAAATGATGAAAATAATTTTGAAGACGTTATAAGTAACAATATTCTTATAATATAAAAAAATGATTATTATATTTATTTAAAAAAATAAAATATTGATGTTTTTGAATAATTTTACAATTAAAACAATTTGTGAATAAATGTAATAGAACAATTCTTTGACTATCTAATTACTTTTAGAGTTATTCGGAATATTCTTTAGAGTCAGGGAAAATGTCAAAATTTTGTCTGGAAATCAGGGAAAAACAAAATTAAATTTTTGTGGCAAGCCTGATTGAGTAATAAATAATTATTTTAATAATGCAGAAATTATTATATCAAAGTTCCGTGTATTTATACAAATTCGTTAGTTATTTAATTTGGTAAAAAATGAATTTAGTTTTAAAATCCTGGAAAAATTCCGTTTTTTAACCTGGAAAACCTGAAGAAGTCAGGAAATTTCAAATGAGTAAAAGCGTTGCAACCCTGATAATGAAAATATGTAGGTATATTTTTTAAAAGTGTAGAATAATAAAGACTTTTGTATTTTTCAGGTGTGACGATTCATGAGAATGAGCGCACAAGATTACTTTTAAAAGTATTGGCAGTTTCTGACATTGTGGTTTACAGAACTCGTGCAGAAAGATTGCATCGTGATTTGTTTACATTCTTGGGTGCAGCCTCTCGAGCTTACACCCATCACTTTCAATCGGCTCTGCAGGCAGTGGGTCAGAGGGAGGGAGTTTTAAGCTCTGTCAGTAATTTGGGACCGAGTGTCATTATTTTTCACGAAACCAGACACACCAGTCCTTTAATAAATGGTAATTTTCTTTTTAATTTAAAATAGTTATTTTATTTTTTATAGGGATCTTTTGTACTGTGAGACGCTCTCTGTTGTAAATTTTTATAACCATTGAGAGTAGATTGTTTTGTCGAATCAGAATTCGTTATAAATTCTTTTATTTCTTGTAATTTTTCTCTCTCTTTATTTACTATAATTTTATTTATCATGATATCAACATTTTTTTAATTAATAAAATTAATAAAATTGAATTAATTTTTTTTTCAGATTCAGCCGAGAGCGCGGAGGACATTCTGAGGACGCGATTCGCTCAAATGCGATTGGAGATTGAGGCTTTCAGTTCAATAAAATATGTGGGAGTTCAAACTTTAAATCCGCCAACGGACTACGATCCATTGCGTTTGGCAATCAGAAACGAATTAGACAATACAACCGTTAGATCGGCCAGAAAACCACATTTAGTTTACAGTACATTAAAAATTCTTAACGACAAATTCTCAGGGGAAATTGAAAATGATTGCATTGTTCTTTTCCCCGATCAATATTTTACTTGTCCCGTCAAGTGTTTTAGTTGCGGTTGTAGATGTCAAAACAGTATGGGTCATTTTCGTGAAGGAAAACCGCACATGAGTGATACCAGGTAATTATTTATTTATTTTTATAATTGTACATATAATAAAATTAAATTTTTTTGGAGTATCCTCAAGAGTTTAAATGGTGTTGTATCATATTTGTTAGTAGTACTTATTTATTGGTAGTATTATACTTATTGGTGCAGAGTTCATGGTTAAAAAAATCAAATAGCAACCCTAACCGTCTCGCAACAAATCGAATGAAATTTGTTTTTTTGAAAAAGGGCCGTAAAGTCCGTAATTTGATTGAAAAAGAACGAAAAGTTCAAAATTTCAATTATCTTTAGAAATAATTAAATTCATCTCAGAAATTTAATTATTTTAAAAAATTTTGATAAATAAAATTCTTGTCAAAATTTCAATTATTTTAAAAAATGATCCTCAATTCAATAAGTTTTAATATCTTCTATTTTAATAAAATTTTCCAAAAGAATTCAATTATTTAAAAAAAATTGAATAAAATTCTACGCAAACCTTTCATTATTTTCATAAAATAATAAAAATTTTGCAGAAATTCAATTATTTACAAATTTTTCATTCAATTATTCAAAAATAATAACATTTTTACAGGGATTCAATTATTTTCGTAAATAATAAATTTTATTCTAATTAATTTTTAAAAATCATGTATTTACAGAAGAATTTTAGTTAAAGAATTTAAATTTCAAAGCAATTACAAACGATTGCAAAAATTAAATTATTTTCAAAAGTTGTAAAATTCTTCCTAAAAATTCAATTATATCTAAAAATTTTATAAAAATTCTTGGCAAAATTTCAATTACTTTCAAAAACTTTTCTCAATTCAATGATTTTTTATATCTACTAATTTATTAAAATTTCCCAAAAGAATTCAATTATTTAAAAAAAAATGTTAATAAAATTCTACGCTAACATTTAATAATTTTCATAGATAATAAAATTCATCGAAGGATTTTCATTTATTTTTAATACAATTTTAATCGAAATTCAATTATTTTAAAAACCTTTGCTCCTATTAATTTATTAGAATTTAAGTATTATTTTCAAAACATTTATAATTAAATTGTTTTCAAAAATTTTAATGAAATTCTTTTTAACAATTTCCTTTTTTTCAAAATAATTTTAATAACATTCTTCGTAGAAATTTAATTAATTTCGAAAATTTGTCAAAATTCAATTATTTTCAAAAAATTTACAAAAATTCTCGTCAAAATTTCAATAATGTTTGTAAATAATAAAATTATTCTCTAAAATTAAATTATTTAAAAAAATTTAAATAAAATTTCCCAAAAGAATTCAATTATTTAAAAAAAATTTAATAAAATTCTCGCAAATATTTAATTGTTTCCCTTAATAATAAAAATTTCACAGGCATTGAATTATTTTGAAAATCTCTTATAAAATTCTTTGGAGAAATTCAATAATTTTTAATACAATTTTAATGTAATTTCCCAAAAAATGAATTTATTCTTCAAAACAATTGAAATTGTTTAAAAAATTTGTTTATTTCTTTATGAAAATTCAATTTTAAGAAACACTGAATTAATTAAATACTCGTAGATTTTTCTAATAATCCACAATTTAAAAAAAAATCCGCAATTAAACTTTCTCAAAAAACTAATTCCTCAGAATTGTTAGTTTAAAGAAATGAAGAATTCAGATTTTCAAAAACTTTAAATTTAAACTCTTTCAAAATTTAATTATTTCTAAAATTTCAAGATCTAATACTTTTAATATTCAATTATTATCTAAAATTTTAACTGAAATTCATTTTTAAATCAATTTTTATTAGAAAATTCTACTAGAATTCAATTATTTAATTACAAATAGAATTTATTGAATAATTGCATGTATCTTAAAATTGAATTCATTCGACGAATTTTAATAAAATTTTTGAGAATAATTGAATTTTGGAGAAGAATTTAATTAATTCCAAAGATAATTGAAATTTTGACGAGAATTTAAAAAAAAATTTTGAACATAATTGAATTTTTGAGAAGAATTTTAATACTTTTGAAAATAATTGAATGATTGCGAAGGAATTTATAAAAAGTTTGTAAATAATAATTGAATTGAGGAAAATTTTTGAAAATAATTGAATTTTAGAGAAGAATTTAATTATTTCCAAAAATAATTGAAATTTTGACGAGAATTTTAAAAAAATTTTTGAACATAATTGAATTTTTGCGAAAAATTTTATTACTTTTGAAAATAATTGAATTTCTGCAATCATTTGTAATTTCTCTAAAATTCTCCAAATTATATCGTACAATTTACAAACTTTTCGTCCTTTTTCAATCAAACTACGGACTTTATGGACCTTTTTTTTAAAAAACTTACTTTTACGAACTTTAAGCAAATTTACGGACTTTTAAGGAATTTACGGAACTATTTCGAGCCCTACACTTGGAGAAACAGTGTTGACCAAAGATTTCCTGAAATTTTTATTTTCTGAAGCTTATAACAATAAAAAATAGTTCTGCCAAGCTCTATTTAAATTATTGATAAAAGTGCCCCGAAAGTTTAATTTTAAAATGATCAAGCAGATTCGATAATTTTTAAGAATAATTAATCAAACATTAAACTGTTTATTTTTTTTTTAGATGTCGCTATCAGCATCAGTATGAAAACGTCGTTTATATTTGTAAACAGTGTCATGGAAATGGAAATGAAGTTATAGTGACGAGCCGAACTCAAACTCAAAATGACAATAGTTGGTACGGTTTGGCGAAATATGCGTGGGCCGGATACGTAATCGAGTGTCCGCAGTGCGGAGAAATTTACAGAAGTCGTCAATATTGGTATGGCAACAAGAATCCCGAGGATGTCTCTGTTCGCTCTGAAATCACCCACGTTTGGAATACGGTAAGCGAATTCAAAACTCTCCACTCTTTATAAAAGTTAACGCAAAGTTTGAGTTAAGGTTGTCGCCAAAACTTTTCTTTTGGTTTCTTACAAACTCCCCTTTTTCATATTCGAATATTGTTTATTAAATGATTGTTTTAATGATTTATCTAATTTTTTGTCTCCGTTTTTTACGATACACAGACAAATCTGAATATCACATCTCAAAATACAGCGCAAAGAATGCTCGACGGAGTTTCGTATTTGAGTGAGGCGGTGACCAACGTTTCTCTTCAGCCGACGAAGGCAATAACCGCCTGGGTGGCTGATCAAGTGGCCCCGACTTATTGGCGGCCAAACAACGAGATCAAACACTGCCACAAGTGCAATAATCTGTTTGGCCCCACGGACACAAAGCACCATTGCCGCTCCTGTGGCGAAGGCTTCTGTGCCTCTTGCTCTTCAAGGACGAAATGTGTACCCGACAGAAATTGGTACACTCCCGTAAGAGTTTGCGACTTTTGCTACAATAAAGAGACAAACTCAAATGAGGAGCCTGTCATTACAGAAGATGTGAGTGTGAGAAAAGTTTCGGAGCACGTCGTCTCGACATTCAGCGCTGTTGGATCTGTTCTTTCTTATTCCAAATGTGAGTTTTCATATTAAATTTATAAAATTAGAAATTAGAATTGGATTTTGAAAATAAGAAATACAATTTCAATGAAATTAACACTTTGACCAACATTTTATTCTGCTTCACAGGTTCGCTTGAAATTGTTTACGCAAAGATTTTCAGAGTCGCTGATTTCTAAAATCGTGTTAATTTTTCAAAATTCAAAATGGCGGATCGAATATGGCCGATGATTTCTTAAATTGATTGGATTCGGTTTCAAATTTTTGAAAAATTCTCTGCCATATTGGGTCCAATATATTGAATTGTTAAAAAATAACATTTGATACGTAATTAGTGACCAATGGTCAATTTCTTATGTTTTAGTAAATCAATGTGTTTTTAAATACTCTAAAATTTTTTATAATTATTTAATTAGTCAAAGAAAAGTTTTTCAACAAAAAAAAGAGGAAATGATATTTTCCACAATTTCTGGTTTTAAAAATACCAATAATTTCGTAAATTCTGATCGAATTAGTTTCAAAAATAGGTCAATAGCAGTTTTTCTAATGCTCCATGTGTTGTTTTCTAAAGTTATTGTGCTTATTCTTGAAATCTAATTTTTCTTGAATTCAATTTTCTTAATTCAATTTTAAATGAGTTGCCTTTACAATTTTTCTTCGCAATAATTCAATTATTTTCATAAATAATCAAAATATTTATAGATTTACAATTATTTTCATAAATAATAAAACTCATCGCAAAATTTTAATTATTTTTAATACAATTTTAATGGAATTTCTCGAAAAATGTATAATTATTCTTAAAAAATTTATTCAAATTCATCAAAGAAATTCAATTCCTTTCAAAAGTAATACAATTCTGCGCAGAAATTCAATTGTAATCAAAAGTTTAAAAAATTTATCGTCAAAATTTCAATTATCTTTATAAATATTAAAATTTTTCTCCATAATTCAATTATTTTCAAAAATTTTAATGAAATTCTTTTTAACAAATTCAATGTTTTTTTTCAAAAATTCTCCTCCAGTCAATAATTTTAAATATCTACTATTTTAATAAAATTTTCCAAAAGAAATGAATTATTTAAAAAAATTTGTTATAAATTTCTTTGCAATAATTCTATTATTTTCAAAAATTTTCAATTTATTTTTACAGACATTCAATTATTTTTATAAATATGTAATACAATTTTTTGCAGGGATTCAATTATTATTATTTTCATAGATAATAAAACTCATTGCAGAATTTCAATTCTTTTTGATACAATTTTAATCGAATTCCTCGAAAAATGTAATTATTCTTAAAATTTTATTAAAATTCGTCAAAATAATGCAATTATTTTAAAATTTGTTAATAAAATTCTTTATGAGAATTCAATTTTAAGAAACATTCAATTATTCAATAAAGTATTTATTTTTGTATTAAAAATAATTAGGTAGGTATTTAAAAAAAATATTAAAAAATTCGTCTTAAGAATTCAATTATTTTCAAAAGTAATAAAATTTTTAGCAGAAATTCAATTATGGTCAAAAGTTTTAAAAAAAATTATAGTCAAAATTTCAATTATTTTTATAAATATTAAAATTTTTCTCTAAAATTCAATTATTTTCAAAAATTTTAATAAAATTCTTGGCAATATTTCAATTATTTTCAATAATTTTAATAAAATTCTTGACAAAATTTCAATTATTTTCAAAAACTTTTCTCAATTCAATGAAATTTTTTTTTACAGAGATTCAATTATTTTTAATACATTTTTAATCTAATTTCTCAAAAAATGAAATTATTCTTAAAAATTTTATTGAAATTCGTCAAAAGAATTTTAATTACCTATTTAAAAATTTGTTGATGAAATTCTTTAAATGAGAGTTGAGAATTTTCTAATAATAATTGATTTAAATATGAATTTCAGTTAAAAATTTAGATAATAATTGAATTTTGAAAAGATTTCAAATTATAATCTTTGAATGTTTGAATTTTTCATACTTTTAACTTAAAATTGTGTAGATTTAATTTTTTTTGTAAAAGTTGAATTGAATTTTTTTGAAGTTATTTAAAGTTTTTATTTTCTAATGTATATTTGATTGAAGAATTTCCGAATAATCGATGAAATTTCGTAAAATTGAATTGTAAACAAAAGGATTTGAAAATGTTGAAAGAAATTTTTCAGAAATTATTAATAATAATTAATTTACACTTTATAAAGAAGAATTTTAGTTAAAAATTGTGGAAAAAAATAATTGAATTAAAATAATGAAAGTAATTTTGAATAAGTTACAGTAACAGTATTCTTATAATAGGTATAAAATGATGATTTTATCAGTCGGAAATTTTTAATTATTATAAAACATGAAGATATCAATTGCTCCGAGTCGAAGACTCGGAGTGATCGATATTTTCATGTTTCAAAAAGGTTAGAATTAAAAATTTTGTAAAAATAAATGTAGTTTTAAAAACCTGGAAAAATTCCGTTTTTTAACCTGGAAAATTTTTCCAGAACTTTTCCAGAAAAGTCAGGGAATTTGAAATGAGTAAAAGCGTGGCAACCCTGTATATAAAAAACAATTAAAATTTTCAAATAATCAATATTATTTCTTAATGATAAGGACACAGACTTGGCTAATAATAGAAATGTTTACTAATTATTTCAGCGTTGATTAAAGACACAGCACGACCTACATATTGGGTTCCCGATTCAGAAGTAAAAGTCTGTTGTGTTTGCGACGAAAAATTCTCAGACAAGGTTCCTCTTCATCATTGTCGTGATTGTGGTCGTGGAGTATGTCAAGATTGTTCGCAACACAAAAAACCAGTCCCTCGTCGCGGTTGGCTGAATCCAGTTCGCGTTTGCGATTCCTGCACAAAAATAGACTAGAATACAAGAATAGATTTGATTGTCATTTAAAGAGGAAATCTTATTTCTAGACACCTTCGCTTTCATGTATAAAAAGGGGGATTTCCAGGACAGGAAGTGACATTCGTTGGTCTTCCGATTCGGCTCAAATTTTACCAATGCTTTATTCTGCCTTGAAAAATAATTCTCAAATCCGTTGAAAATTTAAATCCTATTTTTCGATCAGTTCAGAAATTTTAAATATTTCTAAACAAAAATTACGTTTTTGGATCAAATACTATTTTTTTGAAGTTAATTTCAAAAATACTACTTTTTTTTGCAAAATTGTCGATTGTGAGACTTCTGTAAAAAAAAGAAAGTTAAAATTTGGTTTGGTAATTTGTCAAGGTAGAAAGTTCTTGTAAATTTTGAGCCGAATCGTAGCAAATGTTACTTTTTGCGAGAAATCTTCCGATAATTAAATATAAAGAAGATATGCTTGAGATAAAGGATGAAAAATTTCAATGTAAAGAATGGTTGACAACTCTTTGAAACCACGAATTTTTCCGTTATCTACAAAAAAAAAAGAAGAAGAAGAAAGCAAAAATACAAAAAGGAAAATACAGCCTCTGCACTATTCAAGTTCGTCGAAATCTTGATGAGGATATTTTTTTACTCGAAAAAGAATCTTTTGCATCCTATTTTTTATACAAAAAAACAGAAATTTATTTAATTTTAATTTGTATCGTCAATGACGAGGGGGCTGTGCCATAAATTTTAAGCTGTGCCAGTTGTCAATTCTGTCAGTAAAAGTGAAAAAATCTGATGAAAAAGAAAAGTTTCTTGTATTTCTAATTAATAAGAAAGTTGTGATTTTTAAAAATAAATGTTGATTTCCATTAAAAAAAAAATACAAAGTTTAATGAACAAAAAAAAATAATACTATTTAGAGTATTAAATATTGAGTGTAAATATTATAGTAGGGATATTGCAGTGCATTAAATAATAATCTTTGGCATTAAATAGAAAATACAGTAAATTTCACTATCAAAATAGTTGTAGTCCTTAAATATTATAAATTATAATATTCTATCTATTATTATTGATCAAGTTCTATTTATATAAAAGAAAACTTATAAATGTACATATTTAGTATGTATATCTAATGTTAAGTCGGCTGTGAGAATTTTAGATTTCCAGGATGAAAAAAAAATGCATTTCACATTTTACGAAACCACGTCTTTCATAATAGTGTTGATGACTTTGTTCAAACGTTTATTGACATTCCGACTATTCATCTCTGTGAGATTCGAAATTTATAGTGAAAATAAAAATTTGCTTTCAAATTTTCAGTTGTTCGTTATTCGACATTTAAAAAAAAAATAATGTATAATTTATATTTTTCAATAAATTATTGAATTTTAAAAATAAAAAAATTTTCTTCGTAGAATTCTTGGTATTTTTCCTTCTTTTTTACCTCATCATTGAAAAAATATTCTGTTTGGAAAAATTATTAATTATATCAATTAATTTATACAAATGTATAAAAGTTTTTTCAAAATTTTTTGAGTTAATCTCTTACTCGAAATTTTGGTCGGTTTTTCAAAAAAGGCATACAACTTTTTCCTTGTTAACCGATTAAGATAATTTTTTTTGAAAAATACTCATAATAATCAAGGATCAAGCAATTTAAATAAAAAAAAAATTTTTTTGACTGAAAAAACATTTTTTTAAACATTTTTTAAATAACAATAATAAGTATTAAAAAAAATCGTAAATCCGTAAAATATTTTTTAGCTTCATTGATAAGGAACATTAATCAAAACTCATACTAAAATAATATTTGAGTGTCTCTGATGTATAAAAAAAGTATAACAATTTATTAAATTGTTTAAACAATTATTTGTTGTTACTTTTTTCATAAACTGTTCTTAGGGCTAGAAATTTCTAGTTTTTTTTCAATTCTGCAATTTTTCAGGAGTAAAACATCTACAAATGATAAAAAACAAATTATTTATTTGTTAAATTGTTTAAACAATTTATTGTTATTTTTTTCATAAACTGCACTTGGAGCTAGAAATTTCTAGTTTTTTCTCAATTGTGAAATTTTTCAGAAGTAAAACATCTACTAATAATAAAAAAAATTTATTTATTTAAATTGTTTAAACAATTAATTGTTCTCATTTATTTCATAAAATGCACTTAGGGTTAGAAATTTCCCGTTTTTTCTAAATACAATCAATTGAAAAAATAAAAACTATAAATTGTTTAAACAATGATTTAATAATGAATTTTCAGTTTTTCTTTTGCACTTGCGTTACAAAAAAATGCACAAAACAGAAAAACTTAGAAATTTCAAGCGCTAAGTAGAGTTTATGACAAAAATAATAACAATTAATTGTTTACACAATGATTAATTAATTAGTAAATTAGTCAGTTAGTAACTAAGTCAGTAAATTAGTTAGTTAGTTACTAAGTTAATGAATTAATTAGTTAGTAAGTTAGTCAGTTGGTCAGTCAGTTAGTAAATTAGTTAGTTAGTACGTTAGTAACTAAGTTAGTAAATTAGTTACTTAATATGTTAGTTAGTAAATTAGTTATAGTTAGTAAATTAATTAGTATTGTTAAACTAAAATAAATTTTTATTCATTATTTTGCATTGTATTTTGATTTCTAAAATTGCAAACATAACCTACAAATTTTTAAGCACCAACTGCTCCACGAACGCAAAGCATGAGTTAGAAAAGGAAAATTTCATCTTTTTCATTATGATTTTCTAATAATTAGTTATTTTTAAGTAATTGCGATAAAGCAAGAATAAAGTCAACCAAACATTTAGAGTAGGATAAGCGGATTTAAATCGTAAATATTTTTGCACATTTTACATGAGAGAGAAAAGGATAGAAATATTTTCTGTTCTTTTCTATAAAAAAAGGCAAAAAATGTTTCCATTCTTTTTAGTAATTTAGTAAAATTAATATGAAAGAAAATTTGTCCTATTTTTAGAAGTAGCTCAAAATTTAAAAAAATGTTTACTTTAATTGGTAAATTGGTAAATTTGGTAAATTTTTATAAATAAGAAATAAAAAATAGAAATAAAAAATTTGTTTATATTTGAACATGAAAATTTTCCCGCGTAATTCTTTCGAGATATCGTCTCGCGATACAATCGATATATGTGTTTTTTTTAAAAACGATACGATATTAATTGAAGTGACGTCAAAAATAATATATATATATATCCAATATGGCGTTTAGATCAGCTGGATTTTGTATAGAGTGAGTGCTTGAGATGCTCCTCGTTAGGAAAAAGTACACCAGAATACCGTCTGCGTGAGTGAATACGTAAGTTTTTCAAAGGAAAACATTTTAATTGTTTTCAAAAAACTTTTCACAATTGAAAATTCAATAATCACTGACAACAATTGTGTTTTCAAAAAAAGCGAAAAAAATAACATAATAATGACCATGGTGAACATGAAGACGCAAAACGTTAGATCATGTGTTGAATGTTGGTTTCTAAAAAATTGCAGGCAACAAAAAAAAGTTGAATATTTTCATTTTTCTTAATTTCAAGTAAAAAAAAACAGTGCAAGAAGAGGTTTTCTTTGAATTTTCCAGTTATTGAGGGCGAATCCGCGATTCGTGTGTGTGTGACGACATGGCGAGAGGAAAACTCGAAAATAGAGCAAGTGATTTTTTTTTCTAAAATTGAGTGTTACGTGAATTTTTTCCCAATTTTTTTTTTATATGAAAAATTTAACTCATTGTTTAGTGATTATTTTTGTGGAAAATGATGTTGATGCCGTGTGCAAGCAATGCCGCAGCCATTTTTTTATTGCTTACTCAAGTTTCGTAATCCACTATATCAACTCCATATTTGAATTCAACAAGTAATGCAATCTAGTTCACTAAATTTTCAATTTACATTTCTTTGAAAATGTCAAATTATTCGGTAATATTTCCTTTAATTTTAAAATTTCAACTTGTTTTCCTCTTTTCACTTTCAGTAAATAAAAAAAAATCTTAAGTTCTCTTGCATCTTGTAAATAAATGTTTACGAAAAACAAATAGTTTTTTAATATAGAAAAAAATTGTTTAAATATTAAAAAACCGTTTTTAAAAGTGTCTTTTTTTCATCGCGGTGATAGTGCATAATGCAAAAATATACAGACGACATGCATTCAAAAGGGCGACGCCATATTTAAAGTTCCTTTTAAAAACCAAAACATCGTGTGTTTTGTTTGGATCGTGATTTCTGTTGTGAAAAATTTCTCGTCTATTTGAAGGGTATTTTTTATTTATAAAAATTGAATCGAAATTAGTGTTGTGTGTTGTGAGAATTGTTGCGTGCTTAAAATGCAGTTTCTTGGAATAAACGGTAGCCATTTTGTCGCGCATTGTTATCGTATAAACAAGGCTTGCGTATATATATATATCTACATATATGTGCAGTCACCAAAAATACAAACGCATCCAATATTAGTTGAGGAGCGAGAGAGCTCTCTTCATTTCTCGCGTGACGTGTCTCCGGTTGGTGATTAGTTGGCAACGGCATCGATCTTGCACCAATAGTGCACTAGTTACATAGTAAACGAAAAGAATCTGTCACGACGAGATTCACGTGATTTCTTATTGAAAAATTGCGCGTTTTTTAAAAAAAAAACACTACTTACTCTAAAATTTTTTCTAGTTTTTATTCTTCCTTTTTCGTCTTCCTTTTTTCTTGAACAAGTATTTTATTACTTTGAAAATATTTTCAAATTTTCGAATAATTTCGAAAGGGGAATTTTTTTGCATTTTATTATGATGAATTTTTTCTCTTCTATTTTTACTACTTTTGATAATGGACATTGTGCCTATTTAACCTATTTAATATATGCTGTGTTTTTATTCTTAACGTCATTAGTGACAAGATGAAAACCTGCAGATTTCATCAAAGTACTAAGGTGTGATACTGTGATTTGTATAAAATTTGATAAAAATAAAAATGATAATGAATATAAAAAATAAGTTATCAAAAATATTTCAAGATATTAATATTCTAAAATACAATACTTGGAAAGGCTATTAAAGCAGCAGAAATATTTAATTTGTTTATATTTTCGGAAACATTTTATTTTGAGGAAAGATAACCTCAAAAATGTGACAGTTCATAAGCGAAATTTTCTCTAAAATTGAGAAAGTCATTGAAAAATTATACATCAAGTTAAATATTTTTTAATTCATATTTGAAGTGTAATTTATGCGGTTTATGATAATATTTATAAATCACTTGTTGCTGAATAAATATTTCAAATAATGTTCATTATAAAAAGGGTGTTGTTCACTGTTTTTAAACAAGCAATTTTTAATTAAATAATAGTTTTAAAAAGCAATTTATAAGTTTAGGCATAAAAATTCAATTTTGAAAATTTGAAATATCAACTTTTTATTTAATATTTACAAAAATTTCAAATTAAAATTCTATATTAATAATCTGCCTATTTTTAATTCAGTTATCTTTATAAATAATAAAATTCTTCTCGAAAATTCAATTATTATTAAAAATTTTATTAAAATTCTTGGCAAAATTTCAATTATTTTCAAAAATATTTCTCAATTGAATTATTTCATTAATTTAAAGAAGTTACAATAACAATATTCTTATAATATAAAATAATGATTTTATCACTCTGTCATCTTCAATTATTATAAATTGTTGAATTTCAAAAAAGAATTTTGAATAATTGAAATGTTTGTAAAATTTAATTCCAAATAATCGATTTCCTTCAATTATTTTATTACATTTTTTGAAAATCAACGTTTGAAGAATTTTAATTGCAAATTTGGAAAATAATTGAATTCTCAAAAATTTTAATGAAAAATCTTCAAGCGTAAATTTAAAAATGAAAATTATTGAAAATTTACTTCTAAAAATTATATTAAAATATCTTTAAAAAATTCATTCCTAGAATTTTTTTTCATTTTAATTTTTTAAAATTCAATTATTTTCAATATTTTTTCAATAACATATTTCCGAAAATCATATTCAAAATTTTTAATTAAAATTCTTCAAAAAATTAATTAGTGTTTTTTTAAATTGTAAAAAAATTATTTTAAGAAATTTACTTACCTATTTTCGAAAAATTACATCACAATATTTTTAAAGAACTAATTCTTAGAATTGTCTTATCATAATTTATGAAAATTCAATTATCTTCGAACAAAGTAAATTAAAATTTTCTAATAATACTTTTTTTAGATTTACTAAAATTTCGGAAAAATCATGTTCATATAATTATAATGAAAATTCTTCAAAAATTTGATTATTTTTATACATTTTTTGCAAAAATTCAATTATTTTTAAAAGATTTTACCAAATTTCAATTATTCGGAAATTTTTCAATTCTAAATAATTAAAAAACTATATTATCTTTCAAAAGTTATTTGAAAATATTTAAAAAAAATTAATTTTAAGAATTTCTTTATCATAATTTGTTAAAATTATAATTATAATTATAAAAAATTGAATTTTTGTATTTAAATAATTGAATTCTGGAAGAACTTTCGGAAAATTATTAAAAAATTGATTTAAAATAATTTATTTAAAGATGAAGTTTAGTTGAAAATTATAGAAAATAATTGAATTTTAAATTTGTATTATTTTTAGAAATTAATAAATTCCATAAGGTTTTAAATTAAAATTTCTAAATTTTAGTTTCTGTGAAAAACCAAATAGGAAGTATTTAAATATTTATTTAACAAAATTATTCAAGTTCTAAATAATTGAATTTAGAAATTCAAGTCAGTGAAAGGTCAGGGAAATATAAAATAAAATTTTTGTGATAACGCTGAATTAAATGAATGACTTTTTTGTGTTTTAATGTCGATCCAAGGCTTATATTAAGAAAAATTAATTAAACAAAATTGTTTTTAATTAAAAATCATAATTTAATTTAATATTCCAAAACATAAATTATAAATACATTTTGTGGTACTATTTTTGCAAGAAAATTTTAGAAATTATTTTATGTTCCATAATTTTGCAATATTAAGTAAATTTTTCTTTTAATTTGAAAATGATAACATTTTAACAAAAAAAAAAATGTTATAAAATCTTTGTAACTTTCCTTTTTTGAATCCGAAATATAGATCGAAATATTTTACTTCTTGCATACAATTTTATTAAAATTTTTGAAAATTCCCTAGATGTTCTAAAAGTTTTAAATCAAGTTTTTGTTTCTAAAAATTATTATTTTTTATAATTGAATTTTTTTAAGGAAAAAGGGGATAGGAATCAGGGGAAAAAATCAAAACACTGAAAGTCAGGGAAAAGTCTGAAAAAAACAAAATCAAATTTTTGTGTCAATCTTGTCTCATATTTATTATTATTATTGATAAAATTTCTGAACGATAAGATTTTTCAATTATTTTCATTTTTATTAATATCAAATTTAATGGTTCCAAACATCAAGTAATTAAACTTTTAGTTCGAATAATATTTTAATTAAAAAAATGCTTCTTCATTTTTCTTTTTACTTTATTTTATTCTATGGATTTAAATTGTCATGATATTTAAAATTCTGACTACTTGAAACAAAAAATGATGTGTATAAATTTTCAAATTACAAGCATTGTTTGTAAAAAAAAAGTATTAACTTTCAACTCGTTGATATTTGATTTTAATTGAAATTTGAACGTGAATGTTGCAGTTGAAAGAAGAAGAAGAAGAAAAAGAAGAAAATTGAAGAAAAAGAGTGAAATAATGGCACCAGACAGGCCGGATACAACAAATATGGAAACTGCCGTTGGTTTGACAGTCACGCACGTCCTTGACTGTGGAGAAGCTATTTATTCAGTGAGAGACGAAGACATTGCGACTGAAGGCAGCTCCATTGACGAGTTGAACGAGGGAAGTCCACGAAGTGATAAATCCATGAAAAGCAATCAGTCCGATGATGATTTGACATCTCTTACTTGGCTTCATCAGCAAAATCTCCTCAAGAGTCTCGAAATTTCTAAATCTTCCAAGAGCGCAAAAGAAGAAAATGTCCTCAACAACAATATTTGCGATGATCTCTCGGAGAATACAAACTCTGTTTCCAGTCTTGATGAAAGCTATTCAACAGGTACAATTTATTATTCCATCTTCTTCTATTCATTATTCTTCCCTTCGAATTATTCAATAATATTTTACCTTCTGAATATTTTTTATTTATTAATACTGTCATTTTTTCAAATAGGATTCAATCCATTGAATTTTGTCTAAAAACAATTGCGTCAGCTTTATTAACAAAAATTCAACATTTATGTGGGTGATTCTCATGAAAGCAAATCGTTTTTGTTTCAAAAACTTTTAAACTTTCCTGAACCTTCTTTCAGAAATAAATTCTAAAGAGGTTCAAAAATTAAAAAGAGTTGCGAAAAATTAATTTCTAAAATTTTCCTTGCCATTGTTACTTTAAAATTCTTCAAAACTTCTTCAAAAATACAATTATGTTTCAAAATAATTTTTAAAAGTAAACAAATAAAATTAATTTCAATGAAATTTGACAAAATTTTCAATTGTTTCAGTTTTTTAAAATTATTTTCAGAATTAATTTTAATTACAAAAATTTTTATTACATTTTTTCAGGAAACAAATTCAAAATAATTTTTAAAAGTAAACAAATAAAATTAATTTCAATGAAATTTGACAAAATTTTTAATTGTTCAGTTTTTTAAAATTATTTTCGGAAATACAATTATTTTTAAAAAAATTTTAATTAGGTACATTTTTTCAGGAAACAAATTTAATCTGAATTTCTAAATTAAATTATTCAAAACTTCAACATTTTTTGTTAAACAAACATTTAAAAACTTATTCTTATTTATTTTTCCACAAGAATTAAAATTTCAAATAATTTCAGTGAAAAACCTTTTGAAATTTAATTATTTCTAAAAATAGCAACTGTAATTCTTCCAAAATTCAATTATTTTTTAGAATCTTTGAATAAAATTATTCAAAATTTTAAGAATTTTTAAAGAAAAATAATGTAATTAATAATTTTTTAAAATAAAAATTGTAATATTTTTATACTTTTGCTTCCCTTAAATTTTCAAAGAATTTAATTTAAATATCTTTTAAAATTTTATTAATTCCTAAAATTCCTGTTATGATGCTTCAAATATTCAATTATTTTCTAAAATTTTAAATGAAATATTTTTTAAATCAATTCCTATCAGAATTCCACTGCGAGAATTGAATTATTTAAATAGAATAATTTTTGTAAATTCATAAAATAATGTATTTAGAAAAATAAAATTATATTTGTAGATTGTTTCTAAAGATGAAAAAATAAAATTTACTTTAATAAAATTTTACAAAATTTTCAATTGTTTCAATTTTTAAAAAAATTATTTTCGGGAATTCAATTACATCTTCAAAATTTTAATTACTATTTTAGTATAAAAAAACTAAAAGAAAATTGAATTTTGATAAGTTACAAATGATTGCAAAAATTCAATTATTTTCAAAAGTTGTAAAATTATTAGAAAAAATTCAATTATGTTGACAAATTTTTTAATATTCTCGACAAAATTTCAATTATCTATTAAATATAATTGAAATTTTGTCAAGAATAATAAAACTCTTCTCCGAAATTCGATTATTTTCAAAAATTTTAATACAATTCTTGGCAAAACTTCAATTATTTTTAAAAATTTTCCTCAATTCAATGGTTTTCAATATTTACTATTTTAAACAAATTTTCTAAAAAGAATTCAATTATTTTCAAAAAATGTTGATAAAATTCTACGCAAACATATAATTATTCTCATAAATAAATAAGGAAAATTTCACATGAATTCAATTATTTACAAATTTTTTATAAACTTCTTCACAATAATTCAATGTTTATAAATAATATTTTAGAGATTAAATTATTTTCATAAATAATAAAATTCTTTTTATGAATTTAATTATTTTCATAAATAATCAAACTTATCGCAGAATTTAAAATATTTTTAATACCATATTAATCAAATTCCTCGAAAAATATAATTATTCTTAAAATTTTTTTTAAAATACGTCGAAAGAATTCAATTATTTAAAAATTTGTTGATATAATTCTTTATAAGAATTCGATTTTAAGAAACATTCAATAAATTATTTATTTTTGCGCCTATTTAAATAATTGAATATTCTAATAGAAATTTATTTAAAAATGAATTTCATTTAAAATTTTAGATAATAATTGAATATTTAAAACATTACAGCGTGAATTTTTAGAAATAATTGAATCGTGAATTTCAAAAAGGGCTCAAATCATACTTTTAACTAAAAATTCTGTGGAATTAATTTTTTTGAAAAAGTTTAATTGATTTTTTTTTTGAAATTACCTATTTGAAGTTTTTATTTTCTAATATTTATTTAATTTAAGAATTTCCGAATAATCGAAATTTCGTAAAATTGAATTGTATTCAAATGGAATTGAAAATTCCCAAAGAACTTTTTCAAAAATTATTAAAATTTAAAGCAATATCAGGGAAAAACAAAATTAAATTTTGGTGACAACTCTGAGTCGACTTTTCACTAATTCAAATTTAGGAAGTAAATAATAATTGATATTTGACAACAAATTTTGATTGTAAATAATTATTTTTGAAATAAATTAGTAGAATATTTTTAAATTTTTTGTAAATAAATTTTAATTGTAGATTAATTTTTTTTATTAAAAACGTTCAACAAAAAGTAAGCTTCACGAAACCTAATAGTTATTGTGATAATAAGTTTAAACAATAATAAGTATCACAGCAAATGAATGTTTCGAAAAATTACATTTTACTTATCTCGATTTCGTTTGGTTTTTTAATAGTTTTTTAATTAATTTTAATATATTTTTGTTTGCTTTACTAAGCAAACATTCATATGTTTAGTTCGATCGACAAAAAAAAATTGAACCCTGTTTTCTAACAGTTGTAAATAAAATTCAGTTGATTGAGTAAATAATTTATTCGTATTGTCATGAATTTAGTATAATAATAAAATAATTGACGAATAGAAAGAAATTTTTTTCATATTTTATGAAAGTTATTGTGAATTTTTCTTTTCTTTTGCAGAGAGCAACGGCAAGAGTCCGAATTCAGTGCAGAGTCAATCGGCAGGAGGGAGAAATCATAAGGTATCACAAATTTTCCAGGAGAAAATATTCTTTGACGGTGTTCCAAGTAATCACTCGAAGATCTCGTTGAGCAACAACAATCTTCCAGTCTCGAATCGCATGAAGCATCCAACTCATATACCTTATGATCCTCAATTGCACAAAAATAGTAAACCACCCTATTCATTTTCGTGTCTCATCTTCATGGCGATCGAGGACAGTCCAGTGAAAGCCCTGCCAGTTAAGGAAGTCTACGCTTGGATTCTCGATCATTTCCCGTATTTCAGAAACGCTCCGACCGGCTGGAAGAACTCGGTTCGACACAATTTGAGTCTGAACAAGTGCTTTCGAAAAGTGGAAAAGGCCTCAGTGAGTTTCGTTTATTTTTAGACTATAACAGCACTCATCTATTAAAAAGCTACTGTTTACTCCTTCTTTTACGGTTTCATACTATTTGGATACTTTTTTTAGTTTCGTGCTACTGAAAGCTACTTTTTTTTTTCTTTTTTTCTTGAGACCTGGCGCAACTTTAGACCCGCTGAGCATTTAAGCTAGAAATTTAATATTTATTTTTTCTTTACAATAATCATAAATTCAAAAATTTTCTATTTATGTTGTTTTTTTAATCAATTTATGTTGTTAAATATCAAAATTTCGTTACTAAATTTAACTTTCTCAATCAAATTAATCTACTTAATTCAGTCAAATTTTAGTCTATTCAAATTTAACTCGATCCAAATTTTAAACTATTACAACTTTAAGTGGTGACAAAAAACTTCAATTAATTAAAATTGAAGTACAATAAGTATTTTAGTGTGCAAAACATGATATTCAATATTTTTTTATTATTATTATTATTATTATTATTATTATTATTATTATTATTATTATTATTATGCAAACTCCAAAATTTTTTATTTTCAAATATAAGCTTCAATTTTTGAATAATTTAAATTTTGAAATTTGAAAAAATCAGTAAAGTACATAATTAATTATTATTGTTTATTATTTTCAAAAATTTTAATAAAATTCTTCGCTAGAATTTAACTATTTTCATTTTCATAAATAATACAGAGTGTCTAACGGTCAGGGAATGTCAGAGAATTTCATTAAAAGCCAGGGAAATATATAAAAATTTATACAAAAATTAAAATTTTTGTGAGTAAAAAATTTTTTTAATCTAACAAAACTTAGAAGATTTTTATTATCGTTTCTTTCAATGTTAAATTTTAAAGAAATTCGGTTTTTTGAATAATTTTAAATATTTAATAATTTTAAATTTTTTACCAAAGGGTGAAGACTATTAAGTAGTTAAAGTGTTTTTGAAGAGCCCAAAAATAGTGAAGCTAAATGCCATAAAAGAGAAGAAAAAATGTTGAATTTTAAGAAATTCGGTTTTTCGAATTTTTAATAATTTCTAATAATTTTAAATTTTTAAGTAAAGTTTGGAGACTATTAAATAAGTAAAGTGTTTTTGCAGAGCCCAAAAGTATTCAAGCTAAACGCCATAAAATAGAAGAAAAAATAATTAATTTTAGGAAATTCTGTTTTTCGAATTTTTGATAATTTTTAATAATTTTAAATTTTATACCAGAGGGTAGAGACTATTAAATAAGTAAAGTTTTTTTGATGAGCCCAAAAATAATGAAGCTAAATGCCATAAAAAAGAAGAAAAAATGTTGAATTTTAAGAAATTCGGTTTTTCGAATTTTTGATAATTTTCGATAATTTTAGATTTTTTACCAAAGAATTGAGACAATTTAATAAGTAAAGTATTTTCTAAAAGCACAAAAATAATGAAGCTAAATGCCATAAAAGAGAAGAAAAAATCGGTTGTTTCTATCATTAGATATTAATTTATTGTTAAATATGTCAGTTACCATATTTTTGTCCCTAGGAAGCAGAAATAAAATTAGTAAAAAGTCAGGGAAAAGTCAGGGAATTATTTTCTTAATCCTTGTTAGACACCCTGTAATAATATTCTTCGGAAAAATTAAATTATTCACATAAATAATAAAATTCTTTACAGGAATTCAAGTATTTCCAATACAATTTTAATTTTTCACAAAAAGATTCAATTATTTTTTTTCATTTTTAATAAATTTTTTTCGAAAAAATGCAATTTATTTTCTAAAATTTTAATAAATTTTTGAAACAAAAGTTGAAAAAAATCCGTTGTTTAAAGGACCCCGCACTCTTTGTACAGTTTAATTATTTTCAAAATTATCAATTAAAATTAATAAAAAAAAACTGCAATATTTTCAAAAAACTTAAAGAAATTCTTCAAAAAAATTTAATTGTTTACAAAAATTGCAATAAAATTATTTATAAAAACTACAAGATTTTCAAAAAACTTAAAGAAAGACGTCAAAAAAATTTAATTGTTTACAAAAATTGTAATAAAATTGTTGAAAATAATTAAATTTTCTATCAATAATTTTAATAAAATTAAAATATTTTAGGTGAACTTTTCTTTTTGTTTGAATTAATGGATTCTCGAAGAACTTTCTAAAAAATTATTGGAAAAAAATTTATTTTTAGAAGAATTTTGGTTAAAAATTCTAGAAAATAATTGAATTGAAATTTTGAAATTAATTTTGAACAAGTTACAGGAGCAATTTTTATGAATTATTGAATTTTAAAAAGATTTGTAAGTGGAAATTTTTGAAAATATTAATTCCTATGGAAAAATAATAATTAAATATTTATCTAAAATAATCTAATGATACGATTATTAAAGATGTTTGGAAATAAATGTATTACAAACATGAGTTTTGTTTAATATAATCATTTTTAGAGTGAATCAGAATATTTTTTTACTGTCAAAATTCTTTCTGGAAATGAAGAAAAAAGTCAGAGTTGCCAAATAATTCTGAAAGAGTTAGCAGTAAAAATTTAAACTAATTAAAATTTCCTTTTTCTGAAGGTCAAATTCGTTGTGATTTAAAGCTCTTTGCAAAAGTTGCATCGACTTTGACATTCTCTTAAAAATACTTTTTATTACTTTTTTAACTAACGAGTGCTAAGCTTGCTGTAATTAAAAATAGTTTCTAAAGATTATAAAACTTTTGTTCCATTGTTGAAATATTCGTTTTATATTTTTACACTATCGTCAATAATTAAGTGGGACACTCTTTTCTTGTCACTGCGAAAAGTCATTTATTTGCTGAACTATGCAGATATTTTAGAAAAAATATACGATTCGAAGCAGTGATAAGAAAGAGTTACAGTGATGTCTCCACTTTATTATGGACGCTAACCTTCGTTGCAATATTGGAACGACTTTTTTATGTTTTCTTTTATTTATTGATTATTTATTTATATATTTTATTGATCTTTTTTTTAAATGAAGAAGGAAGGGAAATTAATTTGCGAATATTTTTCAGAATTTGGGAAAGGGTTCGTTGTGGATGGTGGACGCGCAGTACCGTCCGAATTTGATACAGGCGCTGTCTCGCGCCCCCTTTCCTCCGCCGACTGCTCAAAATATTTCGTCGCCCGAGAAAGTGTCGAGGAAAAGTGTGAGCACTCGACTTCCCGATCCCGTTCTCTTCCCCTATCTCTCAAAAAGACTCGCGTCAAGCAATATTTGCGACACACACGAGAACGAGATCGACAGTGATGTTGACGCGGCGGCGGCTGCGATGCTTTCTTTCAAGCACGGACCTATTATTTTAAATCACAATAAAGGTAAATAATTAATCATGTTTTTTCACTTATGGCTAATTTAATTTCAGAATTCTGCAGGCCAACAACATTACCGTCCATAATCCATCTTAAAAGAACTTCAAAATTAAAATTTATTTTTAAGGCAAACAAAAAATCGCAGCAAAGTTAAAGTTGAGATTTTATTGTTTCTTTGGCGAGGCAAGGAAAAAATTTCGAAAAAATTTGGCATTAGTTGCACTGTTTTTGGTAAAAATTTTGCATTATTGGTCGAAAGAAACTATTATCCCGATTTGGGGCACCAGCTAAACTCTAAATCACAAATGTTGTCCTTTTTTGAAGTACACGAATTGAAGTATCCTTGGGAACAACCAATGCGCCGAAATTTGTTCCTTGTAGAAGTGGAACGAAAAATTAATGAATCATTTAATTGTTTATTAGATGCTTTTTATGACAGGAAGGCTTTTTTTAAATGATTTGAATGCAGTGTTTATAACGGACGACCGTTACATATAAATTGAATTGAGGTCTCATTGCTTGTCTAGATCGGAAGAGAAAGTTTCCGGACCAGGAAAAGCTCGTTCCGGTAATCACAAGGAGCTCTAGCGAGGATCATACATACAGTTGCATTACTTCTATCAAACTCGAGAGGTACGGATTTTATTTACGTATCTCTTTCAGGGCTGCTAAATCTAGAAATTGTCATGCATTTTTTTTAGTCAGAAAAAACCTGGAGACGTCTGGAAATTTTATGAAATGGATTTAAGAATTTATTTCTTGAACTTGAATCGCGCAAACATGAAAACATTCATTATTTATTATTTTGAAGATAAAAATCATTTCCAATTTTTTGAATTAAATTCTTTGAAGAAGTAATTAGTTTTTTATATAGACTAAAATTTTTTTTTTAAACTCAATTATTTTCGAAAGCAGTTAGTAAGAATTTTTTAGAAGTCTACTTTTTTAAACTTTTTTAATACTTTGTATTATTCAAAAATTCTAAAAAATAATATTTTGAAAGATTTGCAGTTCAAATTTCATAAAAACTTTTTCAAATGGTTTTACATTGAAAGTATTTCGAAATTCTAAGCAAATAAAGAACAATAAGTAGGTATATAAATATTTATTTTACAAAAATGATTGAAATTTAAAAGATTTAATTTGGAAATTCTGGGAAAAATTAGTTTTTTGAAAAATGGAAATTAACATTTTTTGAAGATATACTTGAATTCCCGAAAATAATTTTTAAAAAATTGAAACAAATGAAAATGTTGTAAAATTTTTTGAAATAAATTTTACATTTTAAAGAATTTTATTCTTACGTCTTTAAAAATGATCTGTAAATTGTAATTTTATTTTTGTAAACATATTATTTTATGAGTTAACAAAAATTATTCTATTAAAATAATTCAATTCTCGTAGTTGAATTCTAATAAGAATTGATTTAAAAGAAATTTCAATTAAAATTTCAGAAAAATAATTGAATATCTACAGCTTTTTAACAGGAATTTTAGGAATTAATTACATTTTTTAAAAGATTTTTAAATTAAATTCTTTAAAAATTTAAGGGAAGCAAAAGTATAAAAATACTTATAATTTTATTTTATAAAGTTATTAATTACATTATTTTTCTTCAAAAATTCTTGAAGTTTTAAATAATTTTATTCAAAAGTTCTAAAAAAAAATAATTGAATTTGGAAAAAATTACTGTTGTTGCAATTTTTAGAAATAATTAAATTTCAAAAGGTTTTTCATTGAAATTATTTGAATTTTTAATTCCTAGGGAAAAATAAAAAATAAGTTTAAAAATTTTTTTTTTTTTTAAAGTATTCAAGTTTTGAATAATTTAATTTAGAAGTTCCGAAAAAATTTGTTTCTTGAATAAATGTAATTAAAATTGTTTTAAAAATAATTGGATTTTAGAAAATAATTTTAAAAAATGAAACAATTGAAAATTTTGTCAAATTTTATTGAAATAAATTTTATATTTTAATGAATTTTATTTGTTTAATTTTAAAAATAATTTCGAAATAGGTATAATCGTATTTTTGAAGAATTATAATTAAAAATTTGAAATTTAATGAAGTTTTAAAAAATTTAGATAGAAATATCTTGGCATTTTCTACAAGCTTTGTTAAATTCATGCTTGTAATTCTTCATAAAGAAATTGATTTTTTGCTTTTAAGTAATTGAATTCTCAAAAAGCTTACTGGAAATTATTTAAATTAATTGATTTATAAAAGAAATTTACTTAAAACTTGTATGAAGTAATTAAATTTTTGATTGATTATAGTAGTAATTTTTTTTTTTTAGAAATAATTTTAAAGGTTTAAAATTTTTAAAACTTTATTTCCTGGGAAAAAGTAGAAAAAAAGTATGATTTAAATATTTATTTACGGAAATAATTTAAGTTTTGAATAATTAAATTTCGAAATTAAAAAAAGTTGTGGAAATTAAAAAATGAAATGTTTGTGACAACACTGAATAAAATAAATGACTTTTTTGTACTTCTAAATCGTCTAAAACAATTTTTTTTCAATCTGAAGCTTGAAATTTATTTTCGTTGAACGTTTTTATATTTTATAGTTATTTATAAATTTATACATTTTTTGTAACTTAAAATTCAACCAAAAATGATGGTACTAATGAATTATGACTTAAGAGACAAGAAAAAGTAATTTTTCCCGATAAATATTTGATTTTGAATAATAAAAAAAAAAATGCTCTTTTCCCCACAGCAAAAGATGTTCAACCACAGAATCTTCAGGAGCGGATTTTGACGAGCAGAGAAAAATTGCCGAAGGTGCGGACGCACTGTTGAATTTGGCTGGAGTCAGCAGCACAGTATTGAATCAAAATCGAGCGCACCACTCTCAAAATTACAGTGGAGGATCAAAAACGGAAGGAGGAGCGCCCAAGGCGAAGAGGAGATCCACCAGCAACAACGACTATTCAAACAGTGACAAGCGACGTCGACGCTGGAGAGAGTGGGGCGAGGGCAACCGTTACCTCAAACAGGTCAAGGGGTAATATATCATGTCAATTCGTGGCAGCGCCAAAAACTTCTCCCTCTTTTTCCCCCCTTCATTACTTTTTCAATCGTCAAAATCTTACCCTAATTTTCGAAAACATAGGAAAAACAAGATCTGCCTAAAATAGTTGCTTAAAAAGAGAGAGAGAATTTTTTTCTCCGTTGTCCAAAATCCCTTTTTAAAAAAAAAATTGTCCCACGTGAGGAAAACATTTTACATCTCACAACCGCACTTTAATTCCGAAAAATCGTTAAAAACTTCGGTATTGGCGGTTGCTCAGGGTTTAAAACTCGCTAAATGCCAAAATGAAAAAAAGAATAAATAATGAAACAAACAAACAACCGTAGCACTAAACTTGAAGCAATATTAGAGTATAAAGAAAAAAAAATCAGTAAAAGATTAATTACTTGTATATCAATATATATATAAATAATAATAGAGATATACAAAAAAATATATATATATTATAAATAAATTATGAACGAAGTAGTCTAAATAATTCGAGTCAGGTGTAAATGAATGGAAAGGGAAAAGAAACGCAACTGGCGTACTGAAAGAATTTTTTTTCTGTCAATTTTTGACAAAATGTTGCGAATGATTAATAATATAGAAATATATTAATTCATAGAGAGTTTAAATATTGATGATAGATCTATATTAGATTTTCTTCTGTAGATATTGTATAGAGATACGATTGATAACTATTCATTATAAAAAAAAAACAAATTTATAATATATTTAAAGAGAATATATTTAATCTATCGTGTACGCGCGAATTTATGCAGAATGATTATTGAATCTGTCTCTCGATTTTCCGAGATATTTTTCTTATTCTTTTGTATTGAAAAAATTTATTCTTATTCTTAACTAGATGTTATCGAATTAAATCTTATTTGAGAGAAGGCACACGGGGCAAATTTTAATTCATGGGAATTTAAATTGCAGGCCTAGGATCTTTATCGACTATTTTTTTAAAGCCAACTTTTTTCGACATATTTTTATAAATGATTTTTTTGATTTATAAATATTGCAAGAAAATACCACTTTTTTGGTATAAAACGCATTTCATTTCTATTTTTATAGAGAAAAAATAACAATAGTAAAAAATTTCAAAACAACAATTGTTAAAAATATTAAACAATTTGTTTTAAGATAAACAATTTCTTGAAACATAGTTAAGTTTAATAAATAATTAAAATTTTGTAAAATTTTATTGCTAGTAACCTAATTCTCTTTTTAAATATTTCATTAAAAAATTTTAAAAATCAAAATTTTGAAAAATTTTTATTGAAAATTTAAAAGTTAATTGAATTTTTAAATATTAAAATAATAATAAAATAAAAATTAAAATAAAAATTAAAATAAAAATAATAAAAAATTTCGAATTGAAATTTGAAAATTAGCTCTGAAACATTATTTTAATAATTATTAAAACATTATTGAAATATTAAAAAAGAAAATTTGTAGAATTTTTCTTTTTGAAATTTAATGAAAATTTTTCATTTTTTAAAAAATATAATTTTTCTAACAGTTTTTCTTTAAATTTAAAGAAAAAATTAAGAATTATTTGAACAACTTGTGTAGAAATCGACAAAATATTTCTAACAACTTGAATGTCAGATATTTTTGATTAAATAATTGAACTTTTAAGTACTATTGGAATAAATTTGGTAATGAATTTAATTCTTTAAAATTGAATTCCTTTCCAAATTTTCAATTAGAATTTTTCAAAAATACGATTATGTTTTGAAATCATTTTTAAAAGGAAACAAATAAAATTCGTTAAAGTATAAAATTTATTTTAATGAAATTGGGCAAAATTTTCTATTGTTTCAATTTTTTAAAATAATTTTCGGAAGAACAAATATTTTTAAAAAATTTTAATTACATTTTTTCAGGAAACAAATCTTTTCTGAATTTCTAAATTAAATTATTCAAAACTTCAATATTTTTTGTTAAAGAAAAATTTTAAAACTTATTCTTATTTATTTTTCCCCAGAAATTAAAATTTCAAATAATTTCAATGAAAAACCTTTTGAAATTTAATTATTTCTAAAAATTGCAACAACAGTAATTTTTCCCAAATTCAATTATTTTTTTAGAATTTTTGAATAAAATTATTCAAAACTAAGAATTTTTGAAGAAAAGTAATGTAATTAATAATTTTTTAAAATATAGATATAAATATTTTTATATAGTACTTTTGCTTCTCTTAGTTTTCAAAGAATTTAATTTAAAAATCTCTTAAAAACTTTAATTAATTTCTAAAATTCTTGTTATAACGATTTAAATATTCAATTAATTTCTAAAATTTTAACTGAAATTTTTTTAAATCAATTCCTATTAGAATTCAAATATGAGAATTGAATTAATTATATAGAATAATTTTTGTAAATTCATAAAATAATGTAAAATTTTCAAAAATACAATTATATTTATAGATAATTTTTAAACAGGAAAAATTTAAAGTATAAAATTTATTTTACTTAAAATTTTACAAAATTTCAGAATTGTTTCAATTTTTCAACAATTATTTTCTAGAATTCAAGTAAATCTTCAAAAAATTTTAATTACAATTCTTCAAAAACCTAATTTTTTCAGAATTTTTAAATTAAATCTTTCAAATTTCAATCTTTTGTAAAATAAATATTTAAATACTTATTCTTCTGTATTTGCTTAAAATTTCGAAATACTTTTAATGTAAAACCATTTGAAAAATTTTTTATGAAAATTTGAACTGCAAGTCTTCCAAAATTCAATTATTTTTTAGAATTTTTGAATAATATTATTAAAAACTCTTAATTTTTAAGGCAGCTAATAAATTAATAATTTTTTATATTTAAATATTATACTTTTACAGCAATTAGAATTTCAAAGATTTTAGGTTAAAAACTTTTTGAATTTTAATTATTTCTAAAGAATCCTACTTTCACACTTCTAATTATTTTCTAAAGTTTTGAAATTCTTTCCTAAATCAATTATCAGAATTCAATTATTTAAATACAAAAATAAATAATTCATAAAATAATTAATTATTTTTAAAAATTGCAACTGTACCTCTTTATTGAGTTTTTGAAATTTGGCTTAAATTTTCTTACTTCACTTATTTTATTATTTACAAATTAACTGTCAAACTTTTGACATAAAAATTTGAACTATAAAGAATTTTAATTACAAATAAGAAATCTCATGATTTTTCCGAAATATTAAGTGTAAGAAAGTAGAATTCTAAAGAATTTTAATAATATTAAAAAATTAAAAAAAATTATATTATAAAAAATTTCAATAACTAATTATTATTGAAGAGAATTGAATTTAAAAAAATATAATTTTTAAAAATTAGTTTCGTAAAAATATTGTAATTTAAATTTACTAAAAGAATTTCAAAACTTTATTTTTTGTGGAAATATAAATGACAAGTATTTAAATATTCATATAAAAAAATTACTGAAGTTTCGAATAATTGAATTTAGAAATCAGTGGAAGGTCAGGGAATTAAAAAACGAAATTGTGACAACACGAAATAAAAGAAAATTCTTTTTTTCGCCTTTTTTTCTATTTTTGAATCGACTGACACTTTTTTGCGCCTTAAAAGTCAATCCAAGGCCTGAAATTAGTAAATTTTGTAAGAAAGAAATTATTTTTAAACAAATTGTCCCCTTATGAATGATTGACAAACTGACAATTACAAATGGGTTGAAATTTGCCCTCCTTCTCTCAATAGAATGACATTGTTTTTTATTACGTTAATAAGAAATTTTTAATTCTTCGTTTTTCATTAAAAAGAAAATTTATGAAAAAAAAAATTATTGATTTTAGTATAATAATCAAATTATTAATTGAACAATTTTATCAAATTAACATTAGGTAGTTGTATTAAATTTTCAAATGTTTATAAATTTAATATTATTAGAAATTTTCGTCTTTACTTTTTAATAATTAATTTCTATTATATTATCCAAAATCGGAGAGAAGAAATTGTTTTAAAATTTTATTATATTATAATAATAATAGTAACGTAGTAATAATATTTTGAGATAAATAGGGACTGAAATAAAAGACAAAAGTAGATAGAAGGTGAATTTTTATTATATTGTAGTTTTCGAGAGACGCGTCAAATAATAATTTTATACCAAAGATGAGGCAAATTCAATTGTAATTCTGGATAAAGATTGACATGACAATGTGTGCGAAAATTTTATCATAAAAAATGAAGAAAAAAAAAAGTTAAACGATTATCACACCGTCGTTAGATGATGATAATAATAATAATTTTTAAACAAAACAAAAAGTCGAGATAAAAGTATCGTTTCCCCCTTTTTTCTACTCTCTGTGGCTTTTTTTCGAGATCGATTTCAATTATATATATTAATACGCTGTATATATATGATAAAAAAAAATTAGGGTCCGTGAGGCGAGAGCAGAAAATTATAAAAACTCGAAACTCGCTTCTAGATTTATTTTTCACTTTGGCTGGCGATTAAAATAAATGCCGACTTATTTTTGTAAAATATTAAAGAAATATGGTATTAATAAAATTTAAAAGGAAAAAAAAGTGAATAAGAATCAAATGAGAAGAAACGAGGGAAATTAAAAAAAAAAGAGAAAAATTGAAAGCTAGAGGTGAGTCTTGAACTGCGAGCCTTGTAAGTGTTGTGTAGATTACTATTAGAGAAAAAAAAGGTATATTTTTACAGGGCTCCGCCCGCGTGATACAAGCTCTTCCTATAACTGTTTTTGGTATAAAATTTATTATCTTACACCATTTTTAAAATTATCAATGTATAATGCACTGGGATTTAATGTTACGATTCGTATATTAAATCTCTATCATTTTTATCGGTGAAATCAATTTTCAAATTGATGGAAATTTTATATTGTTTTAAACAATGTTTTTCAAGTCTTCAAATTGAAACAAATTTTGTAATTTTAATTTTTTTCAGAATTGTCCTTTTTAAATTTGTGCGAAATCTACTTTTTTTCATTGCCGCAAAATAATCTTATCTCTAAATCTAAATTAGTAGAAAAATACTAATTAAATGACGAAGATTCGATCACCAAATGATTAATTTATTAATAATTTTACTAATTAATTTATTAATTATATTTTAAATATTTAATTTTAATATTTTGCATATTTTTAATTTTATTAATAAAATTTAAATTTAGAAATAAATAAATTTCGTTCATTTGAATTATTTTTTAGAATTCAAATTCGTTCAATTTTAACAAATTTTTAAAGTTTATAAAAATTTGTCGAAAATGAAAGAAACAGAGTAAATATTTTAATTGCAGACCTCGGATAGAATTTTTGAATTTTTTTTTAGAAATTTTTGTAAATAATGTAATTTTAAAAGGTTTCATTTTGAAATTTTTGAATAATTTCTATTAAAAATTATAAAGAACTTAGCATTTCGATGAATTTTAATTCAA